ATGGAGAGGCCCGAGCGACAACGTTGCCGGGCTCTGATCGCACACACACACACTCCTTTCTTTGTCCCTCCCCTCTTCTTGCTGTGCTACCACACAATGATTCTACTCATGATGCGTCAGGACACACACAACGTGCGTGACTGCTGGATTCACACGCAACGCCGTAAGCAGTATGACACTCCCTGCCTCCTCTTCCTCCCCCCATCTCTTTCCTCTATCTCTCGCCGCATTACAGACGTTGCATGCATGTTTGCGCAGCAGCATGAAGCGAGGAGGTCGAAGTGTACCCCGCACGCCCCACCAGTGGTGTATCGGGGAATGGAACTGACCGAGAGCACATGGCGTTGGGGACGCTGAGTGAGCGCCGATGATGACACTGACCCTGCTCCGCTACTGATATTGTGACGGTGAAACGAGACTCTTCAGGGCTTCTGACGTGCGTCCTCGCTGCGTACTTTTATTTGCTTCTTAGTGTTTTGTGTGTTGTTGTTTTTTTTGTGTAGGGGGATATGTTGGATTTTTTTTTGTTTTTAAGCCTTATTCGCTTCCTTTTAATGGTGTTGTATTATCGCTTTGAAGGTTAGTATAATAAGGCTAGAATCGTTGCTTTTGATGAGGTGTGTGTGATTATTGGCTTAGATGTAGTTATGCATATATTTGATGTTTTTGTTTAATACTGTTTTTTTAATTTATGTCAGTGTATGTTTTTATTTGCATTTGTTTTGTTTTGTTTTTTTTCTTCCAAGAGACAAGAGTGAGAAAGGTTATATTACTGCGGGGGCCATGAAGTACGTTGGTGCGCTGGATCAGGGAACAACATCAACTCGCTTTATTATATTTGATGAGGAGCAACGCATGGTTGCGCGGTGTCAGATGCCGATTGCACAGTTGACTCCACAGGCAGGTTGGGTTGAACATGATCCAATGGAGCTGTTTCGGTCAAGCTGCATGTGCATTGTTGCTGCGATGGAAGATGTACAGCGTCGGATCCCATCTTTTGTAAAACTTGAGGCGATTGGCATTACGAACCAACGTGAGACAACGGTGGCATGGGATCGTGTGACACAGCAGCCTCTGTGTGGTGCGATTGTGTGGAATGACTTGCGTACCTGTGAGGTGACTTTGCGTGTGATCAAAGAGTTGGGTGGTGGTGATCCTTTGTTTGCCTCCAAAACGAATGGCTTGCGTGTAAGCACCTATTTTTCTGCGTTTAAGATGCGCTGGATGCTTGATAATGTTGCTAAGGTGGCGGAGGCGCGTCGGCGTGGCACTCTTTGCTTCGGAACCGTTGATGCTTGGTTGCTCTGGAAGCTAAGTGGTGGGAAGGTGTTTGCGACGGATGTGACAAACGCTTCTTGCACGTTTTTGATGGATATTCGCACGTGCAAATGGTCTGTCGAGCTTTGCGAGAAACTTGGCATTCCTATGGATTGTCTGCCAGAGATCCGGAGCAACAGCGAGCTGTTTACGGATGTTTGTTCTGACGAAGGCGGACTAATTGCAGCCCTGCAGCACCCAACACCAATCATGGGGTGCATAGGTGACCAGCAGGGTGCGTTGCTTGGGAACATGTGCTTCAAACAGGGAGAGACAAAAAATACGTATGGTACTGGATGTTTTGTGCTTATGAATGTGGGGGAAAAGGTGCATTTTTCAAACCATGGTCTTCTCTCCACTGTTGCCTATCAGCTTGGTAACAAGTCCTCGTTAACCTACGCTCTTGAAGGCTCCATTGCTGGAGCTGGGTCAACGCTTGAATGGTTTAAAGCTAATATGCAACTTGTTGGCGACATCTCTGACTGTGAGAAGTTGGCCAGAACTGTGCCTGATACGCAAGGTGTCATGTTTGTACCTGCGTTTTCCGGTTTTCTGGCACCTAACTGGGATGCTTCTGCCCGTGGAACTATTTTGGGGATGACGTTGAAGACAACCCGCGCCCATCTCCTTCGCGCCGCGCTACTCTCCATTGTGCTTCAGGTTTTTGATGTTTTGGAGGCACTTGAGAAAGACACGGGAGTTAAAGTGGAGTTTCTTCGTGTGGATGGTGGACTGACTGCAAATCATCTTCTGATGGAGATGCAGTCAGACATTTTGGGAATTGAACTTCGTCTTCCGATGATGGCCGAAACCACTGCGCTTGGTGCAGCTTTGTGTGCCGGCCTAGCTGCAGGTGTCTGGAAGTCGCTGGAGGAGGCAAAGACCATATCGAACAAAACGAACGTTTTGCATGTGATCAGGCCTGGTGTGTCCGGGGGTTCTAAAGAGAGGTTAAGGGAGCAATGGAGGCGGGCACAGCAACATGCCAAGTGGGCAAAGTTGTAATTGAACCCGTATCCTAATTTATATTTTATCCCAAGCATATATATATATATATCGTAAGGAGTTCCTTTTTTTTCTTTAAATGTGTGAGTCACCTTCTACAGAAAATTTAATGAGGAAATAAAACAAAATTGAAAAAAAAATGATACGCATGGCAGCTTTGATGTAAATATTTTACAGTATGCCTGATGTTTGGTTGATATACAGTTAAAGGTATACGCATATTTTCAGCTGCTGAATCTATTCGTTCGTCGAGCTAGGCTACCAAGGGTGATGCCGGTTTTTTGTGCAATCCGCGTGCTGGATTTATGGTAAAAGGAGGAGTCTTTACTTCACTGCCTGTGTGTCCCGGTGCCGTTTCTTGCCTTTTTTTTTTTTTTGGAGGGGAGTATATATATATATATATATGCGTATATGTATATCCGTTTTTTTTTCTGGTGCTCTTTTGCTCTCATACCGTAATATCTCTCGTACTCTGTGTGAAGAAAAAGAGACAAATAAGGGGATACAAACACACAGGGCATATAACGTGGGAAGAAGAAAGCAAGTGAGCAAACGACAAAAAAAAACGGGGAATGGAGACGTACGGAGATGAGGGTTTGCGTGATCATATGCGTTTCTTGAGGGCAAGAGCTGGAACAGATGAAGATGAGGGAACAGAAGAGAATAACGCCAAACTCTGTCTTGGGCGTGACGCGCCGCACAAGCACTGTGGACTGGAGCGCTGGAATGTGCAGGGGCGCCTTGATGAAAATCGATGTTTTGGCCTGTTTGTCCCATTCTTCCGTTATACACTGACGGGGGACGAGGAGCCGTAAGACGGGGAGGACTTCGTTGTTTCCGTTGCGGCCGTGTCGTGGGTGGTGGTGGGCCATAAAAAGAAGATGTGCTACCGATTCAGCGGTTTGGATTCTTACAGCCGACGGAAAAATTACGTGCGATGATGAGTTTTTTCAGGCTCTCTCCGAGCAGTTCGTCCAAGAGCCGCTGCTGTTGCTGGATTAGGCGATGGCAGAACCGGCATCGGTGCATGCGGGTGTACTGGAGCTGTGGTACGCGGACAACCAGCTGATCGTGATTCCAAGCAAAAAAAAAAAGAGGAATAAAATGTTCTTCCCTGCTACAAATTTTCTCTCAACGGCACAAGTTTTGAGACGGGGGATGTTGACCCGCAACAGGAGGTGAAGGTGGTGGAGCCTGCCCTACAATCGACGCAGCTAGCCGTGTTGCGTGGGAATCAGGGTGTGGTGAATCGCGAGGACAACGTGGGTCAGGAAATGTTCTGCTACTGGATCCCCCGCTGCACGGTGGTGGAGGGCAGGATGCGTATGATGCGCGCCTCGAATAGCATAGAGATCACTTGCTTTCCTCAGTTGAGGGATGCAAAACCTTGGCTGTAATTACACATTTGACTGTGTTGTACCCAGAAATCCTGAAGATACGCACTATTTGCAAAAAGCAATGACGCGACTGTACGCATTTGCCCCATGTGTGGAACTGGTGTGCCATTCGATTGAACAATGAAACAGCGGACGCTATTGACGTCGTTTAGGGGCTGGAGCTTGCGCATTGGAGGCCCGTAAAGGTCTACGCGGCGATGCAGTGTGGTGCCACGGGAGTAAGTGCGCGCCAACACGAGGACGTCGAAATGGTAGCGAAAACTGCGTCACAGCGCATAAGTGGTGCGGCAGGTACTCTCTATACCATGCAATGGATGTTAGGTGCGTCGTTCTGCGACGATGCAAAACTGGAGGCGGCACTCAATGTTACATTTCCCGATCAAAAGTTCACAACCCTTACCGCATAGCGGAGCACATGGCTGGGCGGCGTGCAGGTTTGAGGCAAAATAGTCACCGCGGATGGTACCTCAACTAAGGTTACAGGCCAGGGCTTTTGCAACGTCCGAGAAAGGAGAGCTTTAACAACTTCAAACAAACTCATAGCATGCTACGGGAGGTGAGTACAACAAGAATGGAAATTGTGGCAGTGAATTCTATGAAGTCACTGAGTGAAATTGTGGGGGGATTCAGCAACCTCAGCCACGAGTACAGCAAAGATATTAATGAGCCTGAAAGGGTAATCCTCCTCTGGCGCGCATCTTGCAATGCGGGCTAGTCGTCTTGGTGCATACAGCCAAGTTTTTCATCGTCTCATGGCGGAAAAGGAGGCTCTCAAAGCACTATAATTGCGTCATGGAAAATGGCTTAGCTACCTTGGAGGTGCCCCCATTGACGTCAAGGCGCCAATGATACGGTCGCTCATGCTGAGAGGTCTCTCCTTTGTGTTGTAAAGCCGTTGTGCCGCATGCATTCCGACGCATGTGCGGGTTATTGACCTGGTGATGGATCCACCAAGCCACGTTGACGCAGTGATGGTGACGGACGGATATGAGGAGGAGTGTCTCATTTGCTCCTCCGCACAGTTTGGAGCGGGCACCAGCAGGTTGGGTGTCTCGCAACTGGGAGCTGATTTTAGTGGGACATGGATATTCGATCTAGCGATAGGCAGAGTTAGCCTCAATGTTTTTCTATCCACTCGGGGCGTTCTTGTCTTGTGACGCAACTTTATTGTCTTTGCGTCCCTGTCACTGAGTGCTACTGACGATGGGGAAAAACAACGGATGTGAATGCTTCTTTGGATATCATGTTTGAGGAGGCGCGGCGTAGTTCAGCTGGATGGATCATACCGGGAGACCACTATTTGGCACGCGGGCCCACGTTCTGTCCGGTGGTACCGGACTTTGCGTGAAAACAATTTTGTCGAGTTAAATGATAAGGCGCAGGTGGTACACTGTCGAGGACGGTGAGGTAACACTGCTCCATCAAAGCGAAGCCGATTGTGATGAAAGTGGTGGCCCGCACATGCGACCCATTCCTGTTTGTGTGTGTTACTTCAGCTTTTATCTTGACAATCCTGGGAGTTAAACTCTCTTGGCTTCTTTTGAGACGAGAGAAAGAGAGGAAAAACAAAAGTGATAACGAGACACACTCGTCATGCATGTTGGGACGGCGGGGGACTATAAACCCCTTTGGTCGTTGTTTTTTTCTTTTATTTGTGTGTGGCCGTTTTCTTTTTGTTCTTGATTTTTAATTCATGTTTCAATATGTGTGTGCGTGTGTTGTTTTGCGTTGTTTTCGATCCGCTGAGCCCCGCTGCGCCCTAAATATCCCTCCACCTCTGTAATGGATAAAGTTACACATGCAAAAGCGCACACGGGAACATCAATCTGGATATTCTGCACTTTGCCCAAAGGCTACAAGGTTTTATAAAATGGAGCACACATCACAATCTTTGAACTTTAACAACAATACCGCGACAGCGATGACGAGGACGAGCAAGACAGAAAAAGGTGCCGCGGAGATGCCCACAGTGGAGGCAGCTACCGCTACCCCATCCTCCTACGTCGTTGACTCCAAGTTTCTTGACAAGCAAAGTCGCACAATTGGCACCTATGGACTGGAGACAATGGTAAAGCTCATTTCTTTCAAGGTGCTCATTGTCGGCTGCGGCGGTGTTGGAATTGAGGCAGCAAAGAATCTATCCATGGCTGGGGTTCATACAATCATCCTGTGTGACCCGGCAAAGTCCACACCAAAAGATATGGGCGTTAACTTTGCGGTCACCGAGGCAGCACTGCGTGCTGGTCTCACCCGAGCCGAGGCGTCACAGCGGATGATTGCTGAATTGAACCCAAACGTTCGTGTGCGGGTCGTGGACACCCTCAGCGAGGCAGTGGTCAGTCAAGTCAATGCCCTCGTCTTCACATCTGCTGCCCCTGAGTATTCCTTGAAGACCCTCACGAAGTGGAATCAGTTTTGTCACTCCCAGACATCACCTATATCATTTATTTTTTCCTTTCAAGGTGGCGCGCTCGGGTCCGTCTTTGCCGATCACGGCGCTCGCTTTACTGTAAAAGACCCGGATGGTCGCCCACTGCTTCAGAAGTCTGTGGTGGAGGTCCTCACGAAGCAGGACAAGACAGGGACGCCCTACACGCGTGTCCGCTATGAAACGCCCGAGGGTCAAACCCCTGGTGCGCTCCGGGACTACACCAAGGTGAAATTTACGGAGGTGCGAGGATTGCGTAAGTCAAATGGAGAAAGCGTGAATGAATGTGTCTTTAACGGCGTGGTGTGCCCTAACGATCCCCATGATACGGTGCGCATATACCCGTCCCTTGAGAGTCAGGGTTACTCTGCGTATGAGACCGGTGGTTTCATACATGAACTGAAGGAGGTATTTCAACTGGAATTCAAAACACTTAATGAGGCCGTTGTGTGTCCTGGTCAATTTGTTCCTGTCGGTTCCATGATGGATGGATCGGAGGAGTCGCAGTGGCATCTCTTTTTGTGTGCGTTACTAAGGTTTGTGGATAAACACGGAAGGCCTCCGAAACTACATGATGGGAAAGAAGCAGAGGAGGTGTTGTCTTGGGCCCATACCATTAATGCAAAAAACAAGGCAGCAAAGGAAAAAATTAAGATTCCAGAGCACCAGTTGTTTTTGGAACCAGAAAGAGAGGAGTTCCCTCCACGCCCTGCTCCCCCACCGTCGCTACATGTGCCACTCAGTGTGGACCATGTGGATGAGTCTTTTATTCGCACCCAGGCGCTTGTTTCCGATGCGGAGCTTCAACCTTTGTGCGCCTTTTTTGGGGCTATTGTGGCTCAAGAAATTGTGAAAATAACAGGGAAGTACACACCTATTTGTCAATGGTTTCACTTCAGCTGTGCCCCCATCCTTGCAAGCAGTGCGCTGTACATGAATTCGGATGACTACAAGCCATGTAACTCGCGTTACGATCACCTGATTGCTCTGCTTGGTAAAACGTTTCAGGAGAGGCTGGGAAATCTCCGCATATTTATGGTTGGTTGTGGTGCGCTGGGATGTGAGAACATCAAAAACTTTGCTCTATGTGGATTGGCATGTGGACCACATGGTTCACTCCTTGTAACTGATAATGACCGTATTGAGGTATCGAACCTCAGTCGACAGTTTCTCTTCCGCGAGGAAAATGTTGGGCAGCCCAAGTCTGTTGCGGCAGCAGCACGAATGCGCGCCATGAACAAGAGCGCCGTTATTGATCCTCGTCAGGACCATATTGGCGCAAACACGGAGCACTTATATCACGATGTCTTTTGGAGCGGACTGGATGTTGTGGTGAATGCTCTTGACAACATGGAGGCAAGGTTGTACGTGGATCAGCAATGCGTGAAGTTTCGCAAGATTCTTGTGGAGGCTGGAACGATGGGAACAGGCGGCAATGTTGATATCATCGTTCCAGGCAAAACCACATCCTACGCGGATGGTGGCGCGGCAGACGCCTCTGGTGGTATTCCCATGTGCACTCTACGCAATTTTCCCTACATCTTTGATCACTGCATCGAGTGGTCCCGGGCCCAGTTTGATGACCTTTTTGTGTCTCCGATGCAGACGGTGGGACAGCTCTTGGAGGACCCTAGTGCCTTTAAACAACGAGTAAAACGAGAAATTGACGCGGCCGAAAGCCCAGGAGAGCGCCTTAGTTTGGTGGAAAAAAACCTTGGTATTTTGCATATGCTGCAAAAAGTACTTGCCGTTCTTTCTACCGGAGTTGACATGGAAAAATGCTTTCAATGTGCGTGGGAGGTGATGTTCCACCTGTTCCGGGATCGTATTATGGACCTGCAGCGTTCCTTCCCGCGGAATGCCAAGAAAAAGAACGGGGACGACTTTTGGTCTGGCCACCGTAAATACCCAACGGCGCTGAACGTTGACCCGGCAAGCATAACGTCCAACAAGGACGCCGTTGAGTTCATCATTGCCGCCGCCAATTTGTTTGCATGCATGTACGGTGTGCACCCGCCCAAGCATGAGCCCCGCTTCAACGATGAAAACAACCGTTGGATGCAGCAGTATCGCTCTCCGGAGTGGCTAAACAAAATGATTGCGAAGCGTGTAGTACCAGTGTATCACCCTGGCACTCTGGAGGGCCTTGATGATGATCTCATGGACGCTGCGGAGGTAGATAATGCGGCCAATACGGAGGGAACGAAGGAGGAACAGCTGCAGCACGTACTTCACAATATTGTCAGTGTGGCGGAGCGTTGTCGCAAGACAAGGGCCGTTCCACTGGAGTTTGAAAAGGATGATGATGATAACTTTCATATTGACTTTGTGGCTGCCGCGAGCAATCTTCGTGCATCAAACTATAATATTCCGACGCAGGATCGAATGAAAGTAAAACTGGTTGCAGGAAAGATTATTCCAGCCATTGCAACAACGACCGCGGCTGTTACGGGGCTCGCGCTTATCGAGTATTTCAAGGCTCTTCAGGAGAAGGACATCTCATTTCTCCGCAACGGAATGATTGACGTGGGGACAAACAACTATGTGCTCTTTGAGCGTGACACACCCATTAAGAACCGAACCAAGGTCATCAGCACATACCTCTCTGAGCAAGACTACACGTACAAAAAGAAGGTTATTCGTGTGCCGGACGGTTTCACGAAGTATGATTCTATTGATGTGTTCCTGACGACAAATACAACCGTGCAAGAGTTTGTCACAATGCTTGAGAAACAACTGAATGCTGCTCTATCGGCAGGCACAAAAGGTTTGTGTGAGGTGATTGGTATTGGCGTCGGCAAAGGTATGCTGTGGAACGGATCGAAGAGGCATGCCAACACAAACCTCCCGCTCATGCAATTGATTGAGCGGCAGAAAGTGGTTGAGGCGGGCGGGAAACTCCCGCGGCCGTTTTGGAAGAACCGCACGCAGTTCTGTGAGCTTGTCGTAACGGTGTCGTTGGATGACGAGGATACAAGCGTGGATGAAACGGAGGTGGAGACTGCCATGATTCGTCTATGCATCACGCAGTAACTAACTTGTGGGTAAGATACAAACTTCTTGCGTCATTGATAACGAAAACAAGATGCGGCAGAGATAAAAAGAGAGAGTGAAAGAGAAAAGAAAAAAAGGAAGAAGGGTAAAGTGAACTGGTGAGTGGAAGGTGCAGAACAAGGGGCTGAGTGAATGTGGGGGGAGGGGGAGGCGAGGGGTGAATAATACTTTGAGCAGGTTAAGTCTGTCATTGAGGAAGATTTTTACGGAAGGTGAAAATAGTAATTATTGCCGTATCTTTTGAAAATTAGGCGGGAACATGCCTGGGGACGTGCGCCTTTTTTCCATTGCAAGAGGCAGGTGACGTTTGGAAAAATTGAAAGGGGTGTATATTGTTGTTGTTACTTTTACGGGTGCATTTGTCATGATGTAGCTGGAGGCGTAACAACACGTTTATGTGTAGTTACAGGCGTGTTGAGGGCTTGTCCCTCCCTCCCCCCCTCGCTGTTTCGTTTCCAATCACTTTCTTTTCCTTCTACTTGGTTTTGTCATCCTTCACTCTTGGGAGGAAGCGCCATTTTTTATTTTTTTATTTGTTGGTTCACTTTTGTTCATTATCACTTTGATTTATTTCTTTTTTCATGTATTTATTCGATGTCAGGAAAAGGATGAGCCACGTTGCTAGCGGTTCTTCCTCTTCTGCCACTGTAACTGGCCCTTGAAAGCGCAGTGAGATGCCGCACCATTGAGGGTTGAATTGATGCTTCAACAACACATTCCTAAAAACACCAGTGTCTCTTTCAGCGAATAGCTTCATGGAGAAGAAAATGAAAACAATGGAGGCGGGTGCCTACCACCCCCTACTTCTTGTGGGGATGGTCTATCCCACTGCACACAGACATTGACTGGAAAAGGTGTATGGTGTCATTTCTGCGTGGACAGTTCCGCAGAACGTTGGAGACCGTGGTGGTATTTGTATAAAGTTTCTCTTTGATAAAAGTGCACTGAGGTTGTCACTGGGGCGCCACACTTCACTTTCTGAGGAGCCGGCATTTGCTGTTTCATGCTGTCCGATCAGGAGCCATACTCAAGCAGGAAGAAGGAGGACTTGGGCGGTATTGTAAGATCAAGTAGCATCATCTTATGCCTACCATTCTGCGAAGCAGAGGAATTATATTCTCATATCATCTACTGCGACACGTCGGTTTTGGAGAATGAAAAAGGAGTGGTGCTCATCTTAGGTGTGTGGCTTTTACATTCATGCATGTGTATTTTTTTTTATATATATCTAAATCTTGGTATATCTCTATTATTGGGTGGTGGGGTTTTCATTGTTTTTTTGGTGCTCTTTTTCTCCTTTTTGATCTTTTTTTTTTCTTTTTTATTTCGGGTCGGGAGAGGCATTGCCGCCACTTCTCGGGAAAAGTGGCACAAAAGCGCTGTGTGTGTCTGGTGAGGCGGGGAAAAGGGACTACGGGCGTGTGCGTTCACTGTAAAGGGCAATAAGCGGGAGAAGGGGGATAAATAAAAGACAACAAACAAAGGACATACGGAGGATTAGCACGGAATTTGTTCTTAACAGGCACCACGTTTGTTCTTGTTATTGCGGGCTGTGATAGTCTTAGACGCCAGAGGTTTGACGAGAAGAAATTAGATTATGGTGGCAACAATTACATTCAGGCTTCGTTCCAGCAATCACGTTGGGATTATTGATGTTCCCCGTCGTCTGATGTCATGTCGTGAGATTAAGGAGGCGATTGCGACGAAGTTGAGTGGGTCCCCAGAAGAAATAGACATTTTCGTCTCAGGAACCTCGGATTATTTACACCCGGAGGAGGAGCTTCCGGCGTACACAGTAGTGGAGGTGGTGCGCCATGTTGCCTCTGGTAGACCACCGCCGAGGCGCGAGCGTGAGGCGCCTGCAAGTAATAATCCCCCATGTCAGCGTGCCTTGTCAAGGATGGGCACCAAAGAGGGGGATGCCTCCGCCTCGTTAACGGAGGAAGAACGCCTTGCGCAGCTAAGTGAGGCCGTGGCTGCGGAAACAGGCATTGATGAGGTAGGTGGTTGGCGAACACGTCAGGCCCGCAATCGTCTCATGGAAAACGCAATGGGAGGTCGTGAGGATTCGTTTCGTCCACCACCACCAGGGTATATTTGTCACAACTGTGGCAAGCGCGGACATCTCATTCAGCATTGCCCGGCAGCAAGGGGGGCGAAGGGGCTGAAGGTGTTGTCACTTCCAACGGGTATTCCGGAGACCATGCTGGTGGAGTGCACGATGGATGATCCAGCAGCAAAATTTGTCACACGTGATGGGCGTTTAGTGAAACGTCGGCTCGACAACTCGAGCTTTACCGGTGTTGTGACGACTGCTGCTGATATGGCCGATGTTCCGAAGAAGTCTGACACAAATTTAAAGAGTGGTACAAACGGCCATAGCAAGGACCCCGTTGACGGCGCTGATGTGAAGCCCACAGAAGAGTCTAAGCTTTTGTGTGGCTGGGACAAGGTACTGGCAAAGAATGCGATGAAGGCCATCTGTTGTTCGACCTTGTTTTGTGAGACGTGTTTTAATCAGAAAGTGGAGGAATTGATTAGCCGGGATGAAACAGAAGGGGAGCCACTTCTGTGTCCCGGCTGCAATAAACCACTCTCTGTGTGTGATGTCACTGCAGCAGTGGAGGAGCGAAAAATTATTGGTTCTCTTCACTCCCGGAAGCGTGGAAGGGAATAAAGAATGGATCGCAGCGCAACAGGGTAGGGCGGGACATGGAACGAAGGAGGAGAAGTAAAGAGAAGGAGAAAGCAAAATATTTTACCGCTGGGGTGTGATAATGTCCCGATGTTCGTTCTGAGTTTGGATGGAAGCGCCAAAACAAGAGAAGAGAAGCAACGATTAATTTGGTCTATCCCCCCCCCCTCCCATCACAACTTTCTTAAGTTTTCTCATTTGCTTTCTTACGATTTTCATGCCTGAAAGTCGGTCTCCCTCACTGCGGAGTGCTGGTGTCTACTCATGTGGGGCTGTTATTATCTCATCCTTTTTCTTTTTGCACTCACTTGGTTTATCATTATTAATGGCTTCCTTTTGGTTCTGCCACTCGTGCAGAGGGGCATATCCCCCGTTATTTGTAGCAGCAGACAGGGTATAGTAGGAGAGAAAGTTACTTTTACACCAATAATAGTTTTGTTGCTGGCATGGTTTGAAGCTGCCGCCGTCTTTGAGGTGCACGCACGTCATGCATGTCGAGTGTTTTCACTTATGGTGCGGTGGGTACAAACCCCATGGCGCAGAGATAATGACAGACGGCAGCGGCTGCCTCCCTTTGTGGAACGAACAATTTTGTGTACACCAAGTGTCACGATGGCCCTCACGCCTTCCCACGTCATCATCACCGACAGAGTGATGTGCCGTGGAGAGACTCCTTCACGTGGAACAGGCTTCGCTGGTGGGTTCATGACCTCCGCATGTTTGGACTTTGGGGTGCATTTCGAAGGCATTACTACACTGGCGAACCGTGGCGCCGAAAGGATGAGAAAATTTTTGTTGGTAAGGATGAGAATGGAAATAAATAGTGGTTTGCACGCCGCTCTCAGGGCGGCTTCACCGTCTGTATGGTGGAACCCGTGGATCCCCACTGGTTTCGTGAACAGGCGCCGTACACAACCTCACCAATGTGGTTGAAATGGATGCAGGGCAACGCCGCCCACACCCCGGCACAAATGAAAGCGAGAGGTGAATGGGATCACACCTCCCTACTCGGTATGCCACTGCCGCTCAATATTAAGTACGATGAATTTTCCCTTATTAATGCCGACGAAATCTTTTCACGTGACACCATGTGGGTGGCTGCGCCGTGCTTCTTAGTAAACCCGGAGCGGCGTGCTTTAGAGGAGGCCGGTTATTCACGTTGAGTGATTAACAAGGGAATGCCATTGTATATGCCTTTATGTGGTGCACATGACTACCCAGATGAACTTGTAGAAGAATATTATAGAGGACAATGGGCCTTTGGGCGCGCCAGCAAAGGCAACGATCATAATGAGTGGAGAAACTAAACAAGAAGGAGGTCCAGTGTATACAGGCATTCGTACATGTTCTGTTTTTGTTCTGTTTATCCCTTTTTTTTGAACTTGTCAGTGCCACCACGGTGTGTGGTTTAGAAGCTGAGAATTTTGTGGAGGTTTTGGCCGGTTTATATTATTATTATTTGGGGGGGGGGAGTTTCTGGGACTTTTTAGGGGAATCCTAGTAGTATATGCGTAGTGGTCGTGGCGTCGTTCCTTCGATGATGTTGTTATTATTATTGTTTTTGGCTTTGTTTTTACGTGTATAATGCGGGTGAGTAACCTCATTTGACACGTTGTCATAGTCAGTGGTTAGTTACGGTTACTGCTGGGGTGACCGCAGTAGAAGCCTTCCAGGTTTACAGTTATTGTTTTCTTGACGTCTGCCTTGGTGCGCTCTAGTTATATGTTATATATTATATACGTATAGTGTCTTTTTCTTTGACCTCTGGTCGCGTAATCGTTTGGTTGCGGTTGCCCTCCAAACCTGATGTTGTTGTCTCTGATAAAATTGGTATTTCTCTTCATTCTTTTATTTTTGGTTTTGGTGTAATGGATGGGTATTTTTCCTTGTGGGGTTGTTCTTGCTTTGCCCCACCCACCCACGCTCCTTCTGTTTCATCAGGGTCAAGCGTTACGAGACTCCTCACGTAGGTAAATAAAAAATGAATTTTGAAAAGGAAGCTGAGCATAAGCTGATCCGTGAGACTGTACTCATTGCATTTGGTCTCGGAGCCTGTTTTATGTTTGCGTTCGCGTTGATCTGCCACAGCCTCTGGTACACTGCGAGTGTTGAGGAATACGCGGCCGGGGCTTACATCTTGTGTATTCCGGTGCTTTTTCATATGAGCGAATTTCTAGTGGCGGCATCCTTGGGCCGTCATGACACCCACCCAGATGCCTTCTTGTTATTTAACTCGAAGGCGTACACAGTGGCCATCTCTGCGGCGTGGATAGAGTTCTTCGTAGAATGGATTTTAGTCCCGGAGACCTGGAAGGTGTCCCGAGGATCTTTGGCGGGATGGTTTCTGCGCCTGAACTATAGCAACGTTACTCTAGTGGCTGTATTGTCTGTAGCTTTCTACCTAGTGCGTGTGGTTGGGATGCTGCAGTGTGGGTTAAACTTCTCGCTGTTAATTGAGACAAGGCGGCGCAGCTGTCATGTCCTTGTTGACTATGGAATTTACGCGGTTCTGCGTCATCCAGCCTACTTTGGTTTCTTTTGGCGGACTCTCCTCTCGCAGCTGGTGCTGGCAAACCCGTTGTGTTTTGTGGTGTATGCCGGCGTTATGTTGGATTTCTTTCGCAAACGCATCGCCTACGAGGAAGCCTTGCTAGAAAGTGAGGAATTTTTTGGCGAGCAATACAAGGCGTATAAAGCGAAAACAGTGGTGGGTATTCCCTTGATACACTGAGAAGGCCACAGCTCTCTTTATCTTTGTTTCTCTCTCTCTCTCTCTGTGTGTCTCACGTTGCTTATTTGGCAAGAAAAGAAAATTACATAAAATAATATTTAAGAAAAAAAAAACAGGAATATGGCGGGACATATTTTTTTTTGTTAATGCTGGTGGTGGTGGGAGGGGAGTTTTGTGACTAGCAGCTTCTTGGAAGGAACACGCGGCGAGAAGGCCAAGTTGATTTTGCTTCGTTGGAAGGCCAGCAGTGACGGGGGCCCCCGCACCTTTCTACCTTGTAAGCTTTTATCGAGAGCCCGGATACTGTGGCCGAACGAGTTGTCCATTTGTTTATTGGCGTTAAATATTTACATCTTTTTCTTTCATTTGTTTTCCCCCCTTGAGGCGTGAGACTGACTAGTGCAGTTGTGTTTCAGCGAGAAAAATCTTCTCATGTTTTCTCCTCAGCTTGTTGGAATAAGGCGGCAGAGCCTCATGTGGGCATAATGTCTGTTTTGTGCTTTCTCTCTATTTTTGTATCTTTCATTTGTATTTAATGACTTGTACCAGAAGAAACAAGGGGCGCCGTCATTGTATAGGTGTGTGAAGCGGCCTTCAAAATCGTTAAGGGCGATGAAGATCACCTTAAAAGATTGGTTGTTGTCCTTGCATTTCATGCCGCTTGAGTTTGGCATGCTGCTGACTCTGTTTATGTTTTTCATAGCACCTACTTATGCTGTATGGTCGCTGATGCTACTTGCATCCGGTAGCTTGTGTACAATGGCGCTACTCGTTGTTCTTCCGCTTGCGCCACTGAAATCTAGAGGCACGCATCACGTTGGTATTCGTCACCTTACGCGCGACCTTGCTGTGTACTACCCAACGTTTATTAAACCAATTGAGGGGGAATCTTGGCTTCCTGGCAATGACTCCTTTTACATCCACGCTATGGCGGCGACGGCCGGGGTAGGCACGCTCTGGCTGAAGCATTTGAAGCTTGTGCAGATTCCATGTACTCGCAACGCGAGTATCGTCTCACTAATGGCACATGACGGCACGCCTAGGAAAGTATTTATTCTGAGTCATGCATTAACTGCCCATCACTTGGCATACTCACAACTCGCCCTGGCATTGGCTTCATCCGGTGCTCTGGTGTATAGCGTACTTCATTCTGATTGTATAGATATTTCTGTTGAAAAGAGGGCTGACCACGCACCTGTGGGTGGAAATGGGGACGAGTCCTTGCTAGAACTGGGGCTCAGCGAAGAGCTCATGGAGGTGCATCTGGAAAGACGTATTGAGGATATTGTAGGTATTATAGAGGGCATTTCCGGAGGGCAACTTCTCCGACAGTTGCACGTTGGGCCTGTAGAATTACAGTCATTTCTTTCTTCTGGGAGCAAAATCAACCTTATTGGTCACGGCTTTGGCGCATTGACAATGCTAGCTGCCGCCATAAAGACTCCTGCAATTGCATCCTGCATTTATTCCATTACTGCCCTTGATGCATGGCCGCTAGGCCTGCTGGAGCGTACTGTAGGCGGAAAGATCTCCATGCCGTTGCACACTCGGGTGCAGCTCGTTGACTCCGAGGAATGGTGCGAGCGCCAGAATTACTCGGCACTATTCGAGGAACTACGGGTGAAGCTTTCCTCCGCTGGTGTCTCATGCCTCCGCACAACTTGCAGTGGGACGGACCACAAGTCTATCATGGACATGGGTCTCCTGCTGCCCCTGATTAAACGAAAGCGTTTTTCCTCCAGGAAATCCGCAAAGCTTATTCCACTGATGGCCAAAGAAGTGCTACAGTTTGCCGAGTAATAGTAGCAGCTGGGAGGGGGAGGGGGGGGGGGCGGGGGATAGTGTTGTCTGGAAAAGGTTGGGTATGCTGAAACGGAAGATGTGCCAGGTAACGATGCTGCATCAAGATTCAAGAAAAAATATTGAAACTACAAAGGGAGGCGAAATATATATTTGTTTCTCTTGCTTGCTCTTTCATTCTCCGTGTGGGTGTAGTCTAGCAGGGGCAAGGATATGCCCGCCGCGCGAATTGCATTACCGTTGTTTGGATTAGCCGCTGGTTTGCTTATTTTTTTAATTTATTTTCATTGCGTATATCTTCTTTTCTTTCAAGGTTTATTTAACCTCCCCGCCTCTCACCTCTTATCTTGCCGCGCATAATTTTTATTTATATCTTGTTTGGTTTGCTAAGGACTTTTACCTACGACGCATCAGTGGAACTCTCACACAACTGTACACACACACGCACACACAAACAAAAACAAAAACAAAACAAAAACTGTGATGAAAGCAATGGATGGTTTTCTCGCAGGTGCGCCAAACTCATATTGGAACTACGTCATCTCGCCCCATACAATCTTCTTTATTGTCGCTCTAATCTCTAGTATTCCACTATGCATCTGTGGAGGTGTGGCTTTGGGGTATCTAATTATTTGTTTCCTGGGCTGTTTGCTTACAATCGTCATGTTTGCATTATTACCGCTGCCGATTTTTGAGCCTGTGGGCGGCCGTTACCACGTTGGCATGGCACACGTGCATAGTCGCCACAACCAGACGATGCCGCCACTGGCCGTTTTCTACCCCACCAATGAAATTCCACAGCGCAAAGGTATTTGCTACATCCCCTTTAATGATATGCGTTTCATGAGTGGGATTGCCTCTCATGCGAAGATTCCCCTTTACTTTTTGAGGGACACGCTATTTGTGCGACTGCGAGTCACAGAGGGTGCGAAACCGATTCCTCTTATTAACAGCACTCAAACGCCGCTTCCTGTAATTGTCTTCAGCCATGCTCTCTACGGGTATCATCGTTTGTATAGTTGTCTGCTGGCAGATCTCGCTGCTCGTGGGTTCGTGGTGGTGAGTGTTGGACACTGCGATGGAAGTGCCTCGTTTATGCGTGACGGTGATTCGGGAGGGCAAGAGTTTCCTCTCAAGCAATTGGACTGGGAATCCCCGGCCTCTGAGGAGGCACTTGCCCAACGGGTTCTTGAGGTACGACACACACTGAAGCGTCTGTCCGAAACGGAGTTTTGGAAAGGGCTGGGATTCGCTGCAGCTGACGTTGAAGCGTACCTTCGCCAGTCGCCACGGGTTAACTTGTCTGGCCACTCGTTTGGTGGGGCAACGGCACTCGTCACCGCCCTGGAGGAGGAACGGGAGTCCACAGCCAAACAAAGTGTCGTGCAAAGTGTACTTGTGTTTGACCCCTGGCATTTTCCGCTGCAGCGAGAACTGTTTCTCCAGCCGATTGAGGACGGTCGCAAGAAGTATACTACTCCAACGCTAATAATACATTCCGAAGCATGGGTCCATGACAAGACCAGCTGGGATTTTTTTCAACGCCTTGCAAAGCTTCTTTTGTTGCAACCGTCGATATCTTCTCTCAGTGAGAGGGAGCTGCGGAGTAGATTTGTGACAGAGAAAACAGGCTGTACAAATCACTACTCGGTGACTGATGTCGTTTTATTAAGCCCCATTATTCACGGCTGCAAGAATGCCATTGTTTCTCCCCGAGTGCAGATTTTGGAGTGGTCCAATACGCTTATTCGGTTTGTCAAGGAGCAGACATTATGCACCAATGGGACACCGAGCTGATTGTCATAATGAACTTTTTTTGCTGTCTTGTTTTTGCTTAGTTTTAACGTATGGTTTGTTCCTGTTGACATGCGCATTGGGTGGCGCAGAGGGGAGGGGGAGTGCGAAGCGGAGCTGCACATATTTTATTCTCTCAGTTTGGTGTGTGGGTCTGGGTGTGTATTATGGATGGGGACGTCTATCTGGATGTGGCTTCTTTCACTATCGGATGGGATGTGTTTGAGGTGGGGGGGGGGAGGGGGGTGCACAGGTAATTTCTGAAGGAACATCAACAACAAGAACAAAAAACAAGCGGATAGATACTGCAGAATAAGTCGAATTCAAGCCTGAAGAAGGGGAAAAAACGGCAAGTGGAAGAAGTCATGCCAGCACGACGACTTCTGCACACGATGATTCGTGTGGGTGATTTGGACCGCAGTATCAAATTCTACACAGAGGCTCTTGGAATGCGTCTGCTGAGAAAGTGGGACTGTCCAGAGGACAAATTTACGCTGGTCTTTCTTGGGTATGGCACGGAGAGTGAGACTGCAGTTTTGGAGCTTACCTACAACTACGGCCAGAGTGAATACAAGCACGGGGATGCGTACGGGCACATTGCAATTGGTGTGGAGGATGTTAATGGAGAAGTCGCTCGGCTGAAAGCAATGAATGTGCCAATTGACTATGAAAGTGATGATGGTTTTATGGCATTTATTGTGGATCCCGATGGGTACTATATCGAGCTGCTGAACACGGAACAGATGATGCAAAAAGCTCGAGAGCACATGAAGGAACAGGGTACGGCTTAAACATGAAAAGGAAAAGAAGAAGAAGAAAAAAAAAAGGAAAATAAAGTGCTGACGTCTGCATTCTTACACATTTACTTACGTGATGCTTAAATTGTTTTGTTGTTGTTCTTTCCTCATTTGAGGGAAAATGGAGAAAGTTATGGTGAATGGACCTCTATTTCTTTGTGACTGTTTTTGCCGATCTTATTGGTGCTGTCCACAAGTCGATATTTTATTATTTTTTGTTTCTTCTTAACACTCAGCGATGACCATTTTTTTTTTCTTTTGCTTTATTTCTTAATGTATGTAAATCGGCTGTCGATGCGAAGCTTTGTGCCGTTTCTGCCTCCTTCCATCACTCCCGTCTTTTACGTACCAACGCACGTCCAGGCTATCTCTCTCTCTATCTCCATGTTGTCGGCTTATTTATTTTGGGTGGGTGGGTTATGTTCAGCAGCTTGGGATGCTTGGCGCTGGCACGTGATTCGTGGCATTTGCCGTGCCAACTGTGGCCGTCGGGGCATTCATTGCCTCACGCAAGCGACTGGCGTACCAGTGGCGTGAGGAGCTTATTGGGCCCAACCGGGGGAATTTGCCACTCACTCACAGAAGCGGAGATGGAGTTTTTTTTTGTCGCGTATCGTCACCTTATTGAACTGAACAAAAGGGTGAGCCCTTGTCTGTGAATGAAAACATGGGACTGCATGTTTCCCCGGATGCGTTTTCGTGGGAGGAGAGTCACGTATTGCTTGACGAGGTTGTACGATGGGCCTCGTTGTTTGGACAAGAGGTTGACCCTAGGAAGGTTGCGGCGTTTGAAGACCGGGCAAAGACGGAGGCGGTAGACATGAGTTTCTACCGTGGCCTAATCATTATCTCTGATCACCCGGAAGACGTTCAGTTGATGAAGGCGCCGTGGGGAACAGGGGACCGCATTAGATATGACATAATGCCGGCGTCACTGCGCTACAATGGTGGATAAGACGTAGCATACATGTAAAGGTTTTGGTCGTCTTAGTCACGTGTATGTGGAATATTCACCGAGTGTAGGTTTTACCACAGCCCACAGGCGACTAAGGGTTTTGATGGACACGATAATGTCGTCATTCCACTGCGGAGAGATGAGAATATCGCCGTGATCACATTTTCTCCGCTGTTGCGTTCCAAGGTCTCATTGCTTCGGGAGGTGGTTGAAAGCTCTTGGACATCGCGCGATGTTGACGCCATTGTCCCCCCAGGTTGGTGCCCTTCGTGTGTATGGAACCGCGTGCTACGAGTGGGGGTGGTGTGTTCGTCCACATAATGTTTGGTACGGTCACAGGGATAACTCTTTGCAGAAACTGTCGCCGTCAGTCACAACTCACGGCATTGCAGAGTCTCTCAAGCATCGTTTGTTTCACGTGCATGCTAAGTAGCTGATGGATCGAGAGGCGGCGCTGGTGGTGCTTCATTTTGGGGGACCACGCGACCCAGGAAAGGCAAGATCGATACTACTTCAGCCAGAGCGTCTCATCTTCGGGAGTGCACCAAAGCCGGAATCGTTTGAGCAGTGGGTTGAGAAGCGGCCTACACAAGACACTGTTCAAGATGAAGGTGTTTTCTTCTTCATTTTAAAGAATTACCTCGAAATGTTGAGAGTGAGTTGACACGAGGGAATGGCGGTGGCACACATTGCACCCGCATGCGTTGACTGTCATACGTTCTTTGTTGAGGCATTCACTCTATCCGGTGTGTTGGCTGTGAAATGTCCAAGGAGAGGAGGGTGTGTGCGTTATTTCTCCCTCCGCCGTCCGCAGAAATGTGAGGTATCCAGATCTCAGTTATGTGTTTTTGCAACTCCCCCCACCCCACCTTCTTTTTTTTTTTTGGTGTGTGGTGCGTCGCGAAAGGTAGCTAAAGGCACAGTGGATGCTGCATCGCGTTGGCGTCCGACGGCTCTGGCGGCCATCAAGGCCACTTGCAACCGCGGTCGCGGGTTCCGCTGTGAGCAAAGGCGTCACCGCAGCCGCGTCGCCTGCAGCCCCCATATCGCCTGCCTCTCTGGCAATCCTGAAGTATGCGTACGAGGTAGTGGATACACCTGAGAAATTGGACGACGCCGTCCAGTCATTACTAAGGGCGCGCTCCATTGCCCTTGACATTGAGGCCTTCTGTACAACAGAAGAGGCGAAGCAGTTGGGGCGTATTTCCCTTCTACAAGCCTGCTCAGATGCAAAACCGGTAGTATTTCTTTTTGACGTGCTGACCCTTACGGCTCCCGTGTTTGTTAAAAGTGTGCAACCCTTATTGCAAAATCGCAGAATAAGGAAATTACTTTTTGACTGTAGGCGGGATGTCGAAGCGCTGAGCTCTCAGTTGGGGCTGAAACCAGAGGGTGTGTTAGATCTTCAAGTATTTTTCACAGCCATTCAATGGAAACTTCGCAGTGTGAATCGTCGTTCCGGGATGGCGTATGTGCTGAAGAGCGTTGCAGGTCTTACACGGCAGAATGGTGATTCTGCTGTACAGGCCGCCATGACACTTGGAAACCGCCCTGTGTGGGACATCCGTCCGTTGCCAGACCACTTTCTCGAGTATGCTGCCGATGATGTACGGCACATCCTTCTTTTGTCAAACTATCTTGTGGAGCAGAGAAACGTTCCAATAGACGTGATAGCAGTGGAGCGTCTCACCGCCCAATACGTTGAACACTATGCAATTGGAAAACCTGTTACCGAAGAGGCGGATGCGACACCAGCGGAAGTCAACGTTGCTTGGTTGGAACGATATATTGGGCCAGGCGGAGTGTGTAACTTCTGTGGTTCCAAGGGCCACACAGAGGCGGAGTGCTTCAAGAAGAAACACGGGAAAGCCAAGTGCTCTTTCTGCGGAGAAATCGGGCATACGGCACGTAACTGCTTTAAAAAACATCCACAGCTGCTTAAGTGTGACAAATGTGGCCAACTTGGGCATACCAGCGCAAGCTGCTTCCGAGCAAACCCTTGTAGTCACTGTGGTGGTCCGCACAGTAGTGCGAATTGTCACAAGATGCTGCGGCAACGAAAGTTTTTTCATGAAACACCCCCGTCTTAAATGGACGTGGTTGGAGGTTAAAACATTGTGTTTGTGCTGTTTTGTTGCCTCTGTCTTTTTTCCGTTGCAGTGCGTGCGTGATGTGGAGGATACGGAACATAACTGAGCCAATGGAAGATTATTTTTTGTCTTATCCACCTTTCCATATGTGTTTTGCCCCTCCACTCGACTGCCATTGAGAGTGGGAGTGGAAGGAAGGGGGAGAGGGGAGAGAACGTGGAGCAGAAGGAAACGGAACTGTTCATTATGACTCTGTTTCCGGCGGTGCATTTTTTTTCTTTTTCATTTTTGTTTGCGACTTCGCGTTTCACCTCTTTTGTCTTTGCTCTTGTGCCCTCGTTCTTATCGTGTAGACGCAGCAAAAAAAGAGCATTTCTTTTCCTCTCTCTCTCTCTCTCTGTGTGTGTGTGTGTGTGCGTGCGTGTTTGCTTTGCCGCCGTCTGAATTTTTTTTTAAATCCTGAAGGAAAGTTGCTTGTCTCCCTCCGTCGAGAGATCCCAGTCATTCAACGTGCTGTGCCACAGCTGAAAGGAAAATGTTCCGTTTCACTCCCTCTTTTATGCTCTGGCGCAAATGGGCTCCAGCTGCCGTCTCTGCCGCCCTTCCAGGAGTCTCGTTGCGGCTAGCAAGCAGTGAGTCGAAGGACTACTACAAGATCCTCGGCGTGAGTCGGACAGCGACGGCCAGTGAGATCAAGAAGGCGTACCGCAAGCGGGCCTTGGAGACCCATCCGGATCAAGGTGGAAAGAAGGAGGACTTTGCCGAGGTTGCAGAGGCCTATGAGTGTCTTAACAACGATGAAAAGCGTCGGGTATACGACCAGTATGGGTCAGAGGCAGCCGCAAACATGAATGCTGCCAATGGAATGGGTGGATTTGGTGGTCATCACACAGCCGAGGACATTTTTGCCGAATTTTTCAAGGGCAGGATGGGTGGATTCGGCGGGGACATGCGCCCTGGCCCAGCACAGGTGCAACCCATCGAGGTGAAGTTACGCTTGACACTGGAGGAGGTTTATAAGGGGGTGTCTAAGAAGGCTCGGGTAAACCGTCCTGTGAAGTGCGCCGATTGTCGCGGTTTCGGGACGAAAAGTCAGACAAAGAAGCCAAAGTGCGCCCACTGTGATGGTAGTGGTCATGTTGTACACCAGCACCGCATGGGTCCCGGGATGGTGCAGCAAACGGTCTCACAGTGTTCTCGTTGCGGAGGCTCCGGTACAATGGCTAAACCAGAAGATAAGTGTCCAAAGTGTCATGGAATGGGTTACCGAAACCTGGCACAGGACGTAAACATTGATATTCCGCCTGGGGTACCCGCCAACGTCACACTGATCGTGCGTGGTGAGGGGGGATCCATGCCTGACGCAGAACCAGGAGATTTGCATGTGCAGGTTGAAGTGGCTCCTCATAAAGTATTTACCCGACGCGGTGACGATCTTTTGATGAAGAAGGAAATGACCCTCTCGGAGGCTCTCTTAGGCATGCAGTTATCTGTGAAAACGTTGGATGGACGTCATGTGCTGGTAAAAGTACCCCACGACACCGTTCTTCATCCGGACAGCGTTCTGAAGGTCACTGGAGAGGGCATGCCAGGAACCAACGGTGGACGCGGTGATCTCTACGTGATCACCCATATGAAGATGCCGCATAAACTAACAGCTCAGCAGCGCGAGGCTATCACAAAGGCCTTTGGTAAACCTCAAGAGGGGTCACAGACCTCTAATGAGAAAACTGCTACCGCACGTGTGATGCGTGAGACCGCGCAGGAGCTTGAAGATGCGATGCGTGGGCACTGGGATGCTCAAGAAGGCGGCGGTATTGGTGGTGGCGCTGGCGGGCATGGTCGCGGTAGGCAGAGATCACAACAGGCGGAGTGTGTTCATCAGTAGCGTGTGCCCCACTCCTTTCCCGCAATATATAAAAAAAGCAAAACATAAAAGACGGGTCAGTTTAGTTGCCCTTTAGTACCCCCCGAGGGTATTTTTGCTTTGTTTGTGTTGTTTTTCTGATAGGCATACGCTTTATTGTACAGTTTGTTGTCAATGGTCAATCAAAGATAAGGCAATAAGAGTGAAGGGCAGGACGGAAGGTTAAAAAAAAAAAGACGAGAGAGAGAAAAAAAAGAGAAAGAGAGAAGGGACGCCTTCTCACCCCGCCATGGGAACGAAAGCGCGAATCACCCTTAACATTTTCACATAGACAAACGTACACCTCGCCTAGGTGCGCTCAACCCAGGAAATGACTTTATTATTATTCTGCTTCCTTTTTTTTTTTTGTGTGTCCATGCATTTATTTATGTGTGTGTGTGTGTGATTTAACGGCTAAGCAAATGCCACTATTGTTGTCGTGGTCAAAACTGAGCGTTCCAGGCACCAATCAGGGGGTGGGAAGCTACAATTTGTTTTGGAGCCTCTTCACTCACTCTGATATTCGTATCTGTGTCGTCTGTCTGTCTGTCTGTCTGTCTACCCTGAGGTTTACGCTGAGGCTGCTCCACTCCCATTCCTTCTTAGACTTTTTTTGCATTGCTTTTTCTTTATTATTTGTTGCGAAGTGTACTTCTTGTTCCCGTGATAACAGCACCTGTCACGCGCGTGGGCTTACAGGGAAGGATTGGTCTGCTCCTCTTTGCCAAAAGGAAGATGTGGGTGATGCGGGCACTGCCTGAGAGGAGCACCTCCTGCACTTAACGCTTCGTGGATTGTCTGGCGAACGGTGGACGTTGGAGGTCATGTTGTTGTTGCACTGGAAGATGTCGCGGTGGTAATGTGTACTTCACCGTATGTGTTGAGGCATGCATGAAGAGATGACGACGCGCGTGTCTCGGTTTTTTTTTTCTGGAAAGTGGCCTAAATACTTGTTTTACTTAAATTTGTACTGGGGAAGAGGGAGTCGGTGAGACAACCTGGGCACGGTATGCCAATTTCTTCTCCCGGCGTATTTGCCTCTCTCCTTTCTAAAGTATGCAAAGGTGTTGGCGTCAGACGCACGCGGAGGGTGCACGGTTGTACACTTCAGAAAGCAATGAGCTTTGATGCAGCGAATGGAAGAGGAAGGTGTGGGTGGCACTACGTGTGTGGCCTTTTGCGGCGATCACTGCTTTGCGGAGGACTCTGAGTGATGTACGGGCGTTTGTTGCAGCTCCGCAGAAGGTGCGTGTTGTGTGGGTCCGTCATCGTTGCTCATCATCATTATGACGACGTGCGGTGTCGTCGCAGCTGCCGTTGTTTGCTTTTTTTTTTTTTTGCCTGCCGTCGACGAAACGACAAGCGAAAGGCGTCCTCACCCACGGACGACGCCGGTTCCCGGGTAGATGGCGTAGAAGCAGAAGGAGACACGACACCTTTCCCGGAGTTGCCAGAACCAGTTGCCGCGATATCTGAGTCACAGCAGTGAGGCATGCGTGCGTGTCGTCGTCCACCGCTGGGGACGCTCAGCGTGGTACTCATGTCTCATTGTTGCTTTATTTTATTATCCTCACAAACGTCGATGTGGCGTTAGAAAGTTTTTGTTTTTGTTTGTTTGTTTGAAGATTCCTCTGATGTGCCTTTTCACCCTTTCATCGTCTGCTCTCACATGACTTGACTATTCACAGGGCAGCTTGTTGCCATTGCTGTTGCGTTGCTTCTGTGGCGGGCAAAACTCAGTGTCACGTGTTCCTCTCCAGGGCAACTCCTTGAGAAGTCACGCTTGAATATGTCATGGCCCATCATGTCTTTGCGTGTGTCTCGTCTCTGCCGCGCAGCCACGCGCAGTGGCGACCGCAGTGTAGGGTGTCCACAAAACAAGGGGTGCATAGGAAACAGCAACACCAATAAGCAAGTGGCTGGGTTTGGTATATAGTTGTATCCGCGTACTCGTACACGGCACAACACTCACGGAGGAGCACAGGGAGATCGAAAAGGCCGAGAACGAGAGAGCGGGGGGAGGGAGTTTCATATGAGCTCCAAATACGACCGTGTGAAGGTGCGGGTGCATCTTGGTGCTGACCACTATTACACGTTGTCACGCTTTATGCTTTCAAAGATGCTGACCTTCTGCAAGCTTCCCACGACTGTGTCAGTAAAGGTGAGCCTGGAGGTGAAGAAACGCTTCGTTGATGAGGAGAGGCTCGAGATAGCCCAGGCGGAGCTTCAGGAGGCTACTTTTCTCATCATGGCACAGTACGGCTATGGTGAGGCACACGCAAAACTCTTCCCTGTCATGACACGCTTCTATGTTGAGCGTGTTCCTCTTGTCATTCTCATTGCAGGCAGTGGTTACTGTGGAAAGACCGCCATTGCACATAGTCTGGGCTCGAGGCTCAATACACATAATGTTGTTAGTACAGACGTACTGCTGGAAACACTTACTTCTGTCTATAACGCGTTTCCCGAAACGTGTATCTGTGCTGGAAAGGATATAGGCTGTCAGGCTTCTTGGCCTCAGCCCGATGAACAGGTCCTGTGGATCTATAAGACCGATACGGAAGAGGAGTTTGTTTTGGCATGGCGTGCGTGGTCGGAAGCGATACGTCCGCTTGTTGAGGAGGAGGTCAATAAAGCTATAACAGAGGGCAAGGTTCTTATTCTGGAAGGAAGTCTTCTTAGTCTTGCCATGTATAGGCCGTACCTTCTGCGTCAATTTCAGCGACGTCATGGTGCCATTGTTATTGCTTTTTACGTCAGTTCAGATGATGACTCACGTAGATTTTCCGTGGAGCGATTTCTTGCTTCCTTTCATACTCTTCTCCCGACGTCCTATAGGAACAATCAGCCCGCTGCAGTGGCGTGGATGATGCGGCGTTTGGAGGCTGTGGAGGCCATTGAAAGTCAGTGTTTCGGTAACAATGGTGGTGGTGGTGGCATGCAGAGGCGTTGGATTTCTTCCAAACGGGACGGCAGCTCCATGTCAGCCACACGTGCTGCAGGAGACGGAAATGAAGTGCGCGCTACTGATGGTGAGACGGGCCTCTCGTCATCGGCAGCATCTCCGGGCGCAGAGTCGCCGGAAGGAACCGAGGAAACCGTTCAGGTGCACTGTGTCACGTTCTCCGTGGAGAGACCGTCGGAGCCCCCCGAAGTGATGCAGGACCTCGTGCTAGAGAGAATCATGTTGGAGCTTCGCCAGCGGCAGTCTCTGGTGTAGCGCGCCCCGCAAGAGTGAAAATGAAACGGTGTAAAGGCGAAGCAGCTCAGTCCGGAAAGGAAAAAGAGAATTTCGCATGGTTGCAGTTTAAATAAGAAGGGTTTTGTTCTTTATGAAGTATCATGGCTGTAATCTGTGAAATGTGTGTCGCATTACTATACGTGTATATGTTGTTCCCTTTATTTCATTTGGTGTGGTGTCTTTTCTCTTTCTCTTTAATTCCTTTCAGCAGATTAATCTCTCGTTCTCTCCGCACCCATGCGTTCCTGCCGCTTGTACCACAGGCACAGCCACCCTTAGGTCCTTCACGGCTGTTCGATTTTCACCGTTGAAGTTATTCAGGGCCGGCGAGACCTTTTCACTTGGTGTCCTACAGTGTCTATCTGCTTTTTCCCTCAACTTTTGTTTTCTCGCCTTATCGTGTCCATAGAGTGGGGAGTGAGGTGAGTAACTCGTTTATTCCCTTTTGCAGTGTATTATTCCTTTCCCCTCCTCCGTGGCTTACATGACATCGCATTCATTATCTGATCTATTCTCATACAAACACACAAATGCATGCATGCACTTCCAAGAGTTCCTCGATTCCTTCTATGTGTGCGTGTGTATCATTCCTCATTTTCCTTCTCACTTCCCTCGTGCCTGTGCTGGTAACAATAGGCAATAATAGCAGTGGTAACCTGACGGGGGGGGGGGATCGATCATTACATGTTTGTGTGGCTCTTTTTGTATGACTCTGTGAAGTGTTTTTTTTTCTGTATGTTTTTTTTTTTTGTTCTTGTCTTTGTCCTTCGCTTGTGTGCAGGTGGAAATAGATGCGATGTACGCTGAGGTTCAGGTCAGGATTCCTGCAGAATTTAAACTCTGGTAAAAACGGATTCTTCACCTCACTATGGAATAAGCCGCAGACCCGTGACGATCGCATAAAGGAGTATGTGCCGGATGTCATTGCGGAAAGTTTAGAAGAGCAGCGAGCCGTCTTAGAAGAAAGCACCTCACGTGACATTATAGTGGAACTGGGCCATAAGGTGCTTCGGGAAATTGAAAACAAGAGCCCCACGCCCAGTATAGCTCCCCACCTCAATAAGATTTTGCAAGAGTATGGTTTCAAGGATCTTATTGCCCAGCGGCCGCTTAGTTATTTATTGTACCCGAGTTCAACGCTGAGTGGGGGACAGCGGCCGAATGAGCTTGTAGCCAACTTCACAGACAACTTTCGAGGGCTTGTGGAGGAAGTGGAAAGACACGGATGCTCTGCGCGAGTCAGGCCTACTAAGAATGATAAAGAAGCAACTAAGAAGGAGGGGGAGGGGAGAGAGGAGGCCCCTCATGGTAATAGCAACGCTGTTACCAACGGGGAAAGCTCGTTAGCCGCTTTGAAATTCGGTCCTCTCATCATGGCATCAAAGGAAGATCACGAACCCATGGATGTTACACTCTTTGTAAGGGTGCTTTCTGCCATGGCTCTTGCCAACGTGCAACATGGGGACTGGAACAACGCCGTGCGCTGCGTGGACGTGGCCCTTGATCACGTTAAGGATCAGTCGCGCTTGGGAGGACTTCTTGGCATGAAAGCCGGCATATTTGTTTACCAGAAAAAATACAAGGAGGCAGTGGAGTATGCAAATTTAGCAGTGGAGGCTTCAGGAAATATTCAGGGCTTCATCCATGGCGCTTTTGCGCTGCGGATTTTGGAAAGGCCTGAGGAGGCGGTAGCACTTCTTGAGAAGGGACGAGAACAGCATCCAATGAACACTCAGCTTCAGGCGCAGATGGAAGGAGCTCAGAAGGAGTTGGAGACATTGGCGAAGGATCGGAAGAAGATGGTTAACCCTTGAGGAAAGATGAGAGTGGAAGGGGGGGAGTAGTGAAGAATGTTTAACGTGATACGAAGAGAGCGAGGAGAAAGAAAGAGTGGAGTACGGATCCGGTTTTATACATGCAGTTTTTACATTATTATTCTTTGCGTTTTTTTTCCTCTCTCTCTCTCTCTTGCTCATTCATACCATATAATTCTTTTCTTCTGGACTGGAGTGCGTGCATAGCTTTGGGTGTCAGGAATTATATTTGCTTATCTTATTGGTCATATATGATCTTGTCATTTGCGCCCGTTTTGTCCTGTGATTGGGTTTTGGAGGCAGCTGCGCTTCGAGCAGTCACATGTTTTTTTATTGTTTTTTTCTTTTTTGGTTTATTTCGTTGTTGTTATTGTTTTGGCGGTGGAAGGGAGAGTGAGTGAGAAGGTGGTCTCCAGGGTAACACGGGAGTGTGGTTGAGAAGTACCAGGCGTGTTGCCTCTTGTAAGCGCGCTCCATGGCCATCGCGACAGCGGTGCTGCAACAAGACGCAAGCGAGTTGAAAGACTCCCTTGCTGCACCAAAGGGGACGCTCACGCAATGTAGGACATCCTCCGCGCGGCATGGCGGTGTCCACCCATTTAGTTGCCATGGCGGTAGTGAGGAGAGTTGTCTGCTATTTTTTTTTATCCTTCGCAAGAAACGGCGAGATGTGGAGGCGGTGTGGTCGTTTCCACTTCCCTTCGAGGCTGTAGAGGCGCGGTACCCGATGCTGACCCAATTTGTCTACACGAACGCAGGGACCTCGTATTCGGCTGAGGAACTCAGCCACACCTTCGTTCTCACCGATGGACGTGGGGTGCGTGTGTACGGGCATTGTACGGCGTTTGTGAATGGGGAGTCTGTTGTTAGTCTCTCGCCATACCCCTGGTGTCGCTTCTTCACATATCTTGCCACGCTGTTTCGCACGAATGGGTATGAAAACGGGGAGATGATTGTGAAGGCGCTTTACAATTGCCCCACGCCCCCATCTGGAGGAACCTTTGCGTTGCCGGAACACATTCCCATCAGCTTCCAACGGCCGTATGACAGGTTGTGCTCGTTTATTGACACATCACCCGTGTACTTGCTTACTATATTTCCAAACACTGGTGCGTTGTTTTCCGTTCTGGCCGACTTACTACTCGAGAAGCGCGTTATCGTGGTTGGACCCAATTTTGGTCTTGTCTCGCAGGTAGTAATGTCGCTCCAATCTCTAATTTCACCTTTTGATTGGATGCATATTTTGATACCTATTCTACCTAGTACCCTCTTGGACGTCTTGGCGGCCCCGACGCCATATCTTGTAGGCATTCTAACTTCACAGCTTCCACTACTGGAAGCTGTGCCCATCGAAAGCTGCGTAATGATTCATCTGGGATCCTCTGGAACCTGTGAACGAGTATACTACCATAATGAGGAAAAACACGAACTGCCCCATTCAGGAACTTTCAGTAGTCTTCGAATAGGCTACCTAACTTTAAAGATGCAGGACCCTCGTGACCAGACAGCGCAAGATCTTTGTAGTCTCTTTTTAACTTACTATGCCATGTTATTAGGTGATATTGGGGTATGTGGTGCAGTGGAAACACATATTACGTCCACGGGTAACCCAGAGGACATATTCTATAGATTGCTTATGAGTACGCAGTGTTACAATGCTCTCATAGAAACAGTGCAGGAAGCATTTGCAGGTGAGGATCATGACTGGATGGATAATGAATTTTTTGTTGCGCTTGTCCGCGGACATGCAAAGGTGTACCCTCAACATTACCAGCAACTCATTTACGAGGAAAAAAAAGGTGGTGGATACACAACTCGTCATGCAGATTGCTTTGGAAGTAGAGAAGAACTCACGGCGCTTTCTGCTATGATTCACGGATTTGGAGGGCATCGCATGAGTACTGGTCGGTTGTGTTGTCAGTGCCTTGGCAGCTTGCTTTGTCGCGTAGTGTGTTTGAAGAGCCATCGTGCCTTGGTGACGCTGGAAGCCTCCGTTCCTCCCATGGCACAGAGGGATTACTTATCTACCTCTCTTGGCACTCCAGAGGACCTTGAAATGGTGGTGACCCAAACATTGAACGGCACAAAGTGCCCCTCACCATGACCAATAATGCGACTGTCGGTTAATGCAAGACGGTGAAATGGGCCCCCAACACTTTTTGAATCTCCTTCCACCAGAAGGGAAGGGGATATGAAGGGAATTTTTAAATGTACCAAAACGATAATTGTGAAAATCGTCAAGGTGCGCTGTGCCTCCCCCCCCCCCCCCTGTATAGTTTTATTACCATTTTCCTGCAATTGTCCGATTCCCTTCTAAAGTTTGGGTGTGGGGAGACCGTTTGTCTTCTTTGATGTCTTGCACAGGTTGTTTCTCTTTTTTCTTTTTGCCCGTGTTTGTGCTTAATCGTTTTTTTTTTTGTTGTTGTTGCTTTGGTCCCCTTTTCATGCTGTTTTCCCACGTTGTCATCGTATCATTATTTTATCGCTGTTACGACTACAAAAACGAAAGAGTTGCGGCAACGTGGGGATCCGGTGGGTTCCGTAAGTGGAATACAATATATATATTATTATTATTATTATTATTATTATATATGTGCTTTATTGTTTCTTCGCAGACACCGTGGTGAGGATGTGGGCCGCCTTGACGTGGTGCCAGGTTTTGAGTGCCTCTCAGAGAGGGAAACTAAAAGCCGGCAATTAATCCCGTCGGCTTCTTGTTGTTGGCTTACGGTGGCGGCAGGCCGGTCTTTGTTGGGTGACGCCGTGTTTAGGAACCCCTGGACATATGAAGTAGAATTTTCAAACAACAGCTGCACGTGCCGACGGTGTGCAGTGCTGTAACACTGCTGGTACCGACGTGTAGCGATGATGCTCCATACATGTACGGAAATGTAGGGTTCTAACGCGCTGCAAGTGCAGCAAAAGAAGGGTTACATTTGAAGCTGATTTTTTTTTTTCAGACGCAGACGGCAACTGGTCTTTCCCCCCCCCCCCCTTTTTTTTTTCTTTTGTGCTTTTTAACTTGCTGGAAGGGGAGAAGAAGGGAGAAACATCAAGGAGGTAGTGTGGGTGGGTTTTGCGCTAGACCGGATCGGGGGAAAAGCTTTTTATGCGGCACGTGGCAAGTCTGTTGAGGATGGCCCCAGGCCGTTGTTCGTTCTGGTCGCAGCTGCGTTTTATGTCTTTTACCTCATATCAACTGCAGGGAACACGTAGTGGACATTACCGCCCCTTCACCTCGGAGGATGAGGCGCAGCTGGTGGCAGTACTCACAACGAAGCCGCGGCACGTTGCCCGGTATGTGCGCCAGTCGATGCTTCACTCCCGACGCAGGATAACGCAGTTTCGCAACAGCGTGACCTTCTTGATGATTGCACTGCAGTCCAAGCTACAAAAGGGTGAGATTACTCCGGGCGATGCGTCGGCGCTGGCGGAGAGTCTCATGCGTGAATGCGTTGAGATGCGCCAGGGGGACATGGCGCATCTGCTTTTTCGTGCCTCTATTCGTTTTCGGAAGTATGGCATGACGATTGGATTTCAGTTGGTGAAGCATCTCTTTGACTCCTACCGTACCGATAACGCGAAGGACCTTATGAAAAACATGGCGGATGAATTACGCGGCGAAGAGTCCCTCAAGATGATTGCTGTACTGGCATATCAGTTTGCCGGGCAATTTAAAGAGGCGCATACTCTGCTTCAGGAGATTCCAGAGGAGCAGCTTAAAACCTCGGACTACACCGCACTCATAGAGGCATATGGCATGACATCCAGGTACAATAAAATCATGAAACTCGTGCAACATCTTATCGCAATGGATGGTCCAAGCCGGGATTCTCTAGATTTTGATGTCATTTTCTCTACAGGTCTTGTAGCAACCCGTGGGGATGCCGATGAAATGGAAAACCTGAAGAATATGGCTATGAAGCTTAAAATAAAGCTTTCAGATCAGGCTATAGGGGCGATGATGCGCTCTCGCTTACAAGGTGCAAGGTCGGTGGCGGAAATGTACGAGATAGAGGCGACCCTTCGCGAGGAGCTAGCGGTGGAAACTCTTGGCATGGCTGCGGAGACGGCGGTTATTGCAAAATGCAGCGAACTACTTTCACGAGGACAAAAGTCTGGAGATGATGTCATGCTGCAAAAGGTGCAGCACTTGGAGAGTGTCCTGGAGGAGTGCGTGCAGAATGACACAGTGGATGAGATGGAGCCGGCCTACCTGCTTTCTTTGATCAAGGGCTACGGCGTGTTGGGTCGGTTTGAGGATATGAGGCGGTGTTTTACCTCCTTTAAGGATGCTGGGGTGGTGCGGGATCATCGCCTCTACGACGAGATGCTGCGCTGGTATGCGCACGCCTACAACCTGAAGGAAGTGATCGCCCTGAAGGAGGAAATGCAGGAGAAGCAGATATTTCACACCGCCCAGACGTATCAGCATGTGTTTCGTGTTCTTGACAAGTATTATCCTCGAATGGTGGAAAAGTATGTGAATGAAATGCGTAGTAAAGGCATTCAGATTGAAGCTTTCATGTATCCAACGCTACTGCGTGTGTTTGGGGAATTGCAGGATTTTACCATGGTGCAGCAGCTTTATCGTGAAATCAAAGGCAAGGTGGCTATGGGCAGCACAAACGTCTTCTCCGCCGCCGTTGTCGTCCAGCTTCTAAAGACGTATCAAAATGATATGGAGCGTTGCAATTCCATCATTCATGAAGCTGAAAATCATGGTCTTTTGGCGAATGAGTTTGTGCAGGCGGAGATTGTGCAATTCTACTCTATTCACAATCGTTACGATCACCTCCATGCATTGGTGTCACGTCTGCCGTACAAGTCACCCGACATGTATCGTGTACTACTCCGCGATGCTGCAAAGAGGAAAGACCGTCGTGCCTTTAATACACTTCTGCAGGAGATGCATGAAAATCGTGTTGTTATCAATGAGCGTATGTTTAGCGTAGTCGTTGCAGCGTTGGGACGCTTTAATGACTTGGAGGGTGTTAAGCGTTACTTTCACGAGGCCCTCATGAATGACGCAATTCGAACCCCACTTTTTTTTGCTATTGCCGCCTCTGCCTTTGCTCGCCTGGGTGACACGCAGGCAGTGGATGAATGTTGGAATGACCTAGTGTCGTCGAAGGTGACCATTACTATGCCTGTGTACAACAAGTTTCTCGACCTCTACATGGCGAACAACAACGTCGAAAAGGTGCAGCAGATCCTGAACACCATGATGAAGCTTGTGCCGCCCAACCCCGTCACAGCCACAACCGTTGTTGATATGCTTGGCAAGATGGGACGCCTTGACGAGATGGAATCGGTCTTGGAGGAGATGTCGCACTCTACCAATGCGGTTCCAACACAGGTGACGTATCACCAGGCGATGAACGCCTACGCAAAGACCGGTGATGTGGCAAAGATGGAGGCCATGCGGGCGAAGATGAAGGAGGAAGGCTTTCAAGAAAACCACGTCACATTCAACATTATTTTTGAGGGTTATGGGCGCGCGAAACGATATGAGCACATTAAGGAGTTGGTAGAAGAACGAAGAAGCAAGCAAATCCCCATGGAAGAGTTTGCCTACGTGGGACTTCTCAACATTTACTCACGTGCACGCATGGTGGAAGAGACCTCGAAGCTTGTGGAGGAGATGGTTGCAAGTGGTGTTCCCTTCACAAGTCGAATGTTGGCGACCGTGGCAACCTCCTTCAGCTACATTGGTGACATACCAAAGATGGAGCATTACATCTCTCTCCTCCTCTCCCACCCCGACTGCCGTCAGCGCGATGTGGAGTCGATTTACCTCATCTACTCCAAGATGCGGGACACCGTCAAACTACAGCAGTTACTAGACACAGAGAAGCTGACCAAGACGCAGTTTGTTTACAATGTCTGTGTGGCGGCATTTGCGCGGTCGGGTGAGCACACCAAGGTGGCGTCTCTTTTGACACAGATGGAAGAGAAAGGGTTCTCCCTCACACGCAACACAAGCGTGACACTTAGCTCTCTCCTGCTCAAGGCTGGAAAACTGGAGTTGGCGCAGACAGTGCTGAAATGGAAGGGATGCGCTCCGCATGGGAGCGAAGAGGAAGGGAATGACGTGATAGAAGATGACTCTGTACTCACGCCTCTGGGTAAGGATACCTTTCCGTCTGACGGTTTGGGAACGGCAGATGATAAAGCAGCTCTTGCTGCCTCTGATGGTGGTGGTGGTGGTGGTGGTGGTAGTGTGGATGCAGTCTAATTTGCGCCTGTCACATTTTATATTTTGTTTTCTGTCTTTCTGGGGTGTTTGAAGCACACGGTGTGGCGCTCTGTTAACACTAAAAGGTTCACCCTCATGTTTGTTTTGTTTTTTATTTTGTCCGGCCGCCATTTGTGCTATATCCTTGTGTGTGTATCTTCTTAGCAAACGTGTCTATGTTCTCTTTCTCTCTCTTTGCGTCGTCGCGTGTGTGTGTTTGTCGTTTTGTGACTGGGGCGTTTGTTGTCTTCTCTGTCAGCCTCAGCCCTATCACAGCAGCAACAGCAGTAGTATCAGCTTGCGGCGAAGGGGAACGCGTACGCTTAGGTGAGAAAATAGATTTTATTTTTGTTGTTGTTGCTTCGAACAAAGGAAGCGGTACTCGCAATGACGCAAGACGGTGCGGCGATGGTCGCCAAGACGGGGGTCAGCCGTGACACTGCGGTGCAGCGCACAAACGACGACAGCGTTGTGAGCAAACGCTCGGCGGTATTCCACAATTACTTTAAGGACATGTACCTGCGTTACTTTGTGCGGAAGTTGTCCCGGCGCTCACCATTGATCAATCGCGGGTACTACTTGCGCATGCTTGTCATTACCGACCTCGTTGAGAGAAGCATTCGCCACCTCCAAACTGCCGCCGCTGCCAGTACGGGGCCCGTACAGGTTGTCTCGCTTGGCGCCGGATACGACACTCTCGCCATGCGTCTTAAAGGCGAGCCCCAATACGCCGGTGTGCATTTTTACGAAATTGACTTCCCGTCGGTTATGCAGTCCAAATCCGAATTGGTCCGAGTCGCTCCAAAAGATGCCTTCCCGGAGGACTTAATGGCGGAACCGGCGCAAGAACTGGTGAAACTGCGGGGAAAAAATTATTATGCAGTTGGGGTGGATCTACGCGACACGGAGCACGACTTTATTACCACGCTAATGAAGGTATCACCTGATTTCTCCCCGCTGCATCCTACGGTTCTCTTTGCCGAATGTGTCATGCAATACATGCCCCCATATTCCGCTTCCGATCTCATCAAACGGGTGGCGTGCGCCTTCTCGAGAGCTATATTTGTTGCGTATGATCAGATAAATCCGTCAGATAGTTTTGGCAACGTGATGCAAGCTTCCCTTCGTTCTAAAGGCAGTCCATTACTTGGGCTTGCGGAAACACCTGGTAAGATGGCGATGCTTAGTCGTGCTTTTGCATGTGGTATGAAAGAAACAGCTTTTGCGAACTTTCACGATCTTTCACATTATTATTTAACGGGGGACGAGCGGCGACGAGTGGAGGCGCTTGAGCCATTTGATGAGACGGAAGAATGGTGTGAGATGTGTGAGCACTACGGCATCACCATGGCTGCAACGTCGCATGAGGTTGGCATGCCTGCCCATCCAGCATTTATGGGGACAACACGCGAGGCTGCAACACAAGCCTCACAGGCAACAGCGCAGGTTGCTGCACACGTTGAAAAGTGGCCCGTTAGTCGATTTGGTTTTGAAGGTTGGGGCAATGGGCAGGCTTTTGCAGAGGAGCTTCCCTCTGGAGATGTGGTCATTGTATCGTTTGGTGGTTTTTCTGCCACACGAGGTCATCAGAGGACGAACACAGTGCGGGTTCATAGTCTTTGTGAAGGAGATTACAGGGTCACCACCACCTCTTCCAGTGCGGAACCACCTGCCCTTGTGTTTCACTCATTCAGTCGTGTAGCGCGTGGGGTGTATGTGGTGCTCGGCGGCCGCACGAACCCCACGGATGTCATGATGGATGCCTTCTTGCTGCAACTGGACTTTCCCGAGCAAGCTGCACAGGTGCAAAAAAAACATATTGTGGCTTGGTGGTCAAAACTTGAGCCAGTGGCGGGCGCTGGTGAACTTCCAGAGGCACGTTACCGTCACACTGCGATTGCGGTGGAAGACAACACAGAAAATTTGCAGCGGTCTATTTTTGTCTTTGGAGGTCGCAATGGAGCAGGTTATTGCTTGAACGATGCATGGATTGCGAGGGTTTGCGGAACGACAGTGCATTGGAAGCGTCTGCCGCTTGCAGGCGAGATCCCACCTCCGTGTTGTTCGAGTGCAGTGATTGATATTCGTGCCACCACTGCCGTATTGCTCAGCGGTGGCCTGTTGGCAGGCGATGTCTGTGAGGGTGCTGTGTGGCGCGTGGACTGGGCAACAGGCAATTGCTGCAAAATGTCATACGTGTTGCCTCCACGCTTCTCTCATACGATGTGCCATGTGAAGGTGGACGGTGTGGCGCGTGTCCTTGTCCTTGGTGGTTCAACCTGTCAGCCACGCGAAGGAGATCTGTCGGCGCTGCTCCTCGATGCTGAAACAGGTGAGACAGCAAGTGTGCTGGCACTCCCTCCGGAGTGCCCAACATGGACCCGGCACTGCTGTATATCACTGGGTGATGGCGTTGTAGCGGTTCTTGGCGGTGGTTTCACATGTTTCTCTTTTGGAACCTTTACCGTCAAGCCGTTGCTCCTCTTCCTGGGTGATACTAGCGACTGGAATGTGGACAAGCGACCCAAAACTGTGGTGGCGTCATGTCAGCTGCCTCTGTCTCCACACCTCCCGTTTAAACGGCCTCAGGTTGAGGTACAGCCGTTTAGCAAAGAGGCCTTTTTGGCACTTGCGTGTCAACCAAATAAGCCGGTCGTCTTCCGCAAAGTTGATCTGGGATCCTGCGTGGACGTTTGGGCAGATCCGGCATACTTGAAGGCAAGGGAGGGAAACATGATGGTTTCAGTTCACGTTGCTCGGGAAACGCACTTGCTTGACTTTGTAAGGAAGAACTTTGCGTTCCAGCACGTTTCGTTTGCCTCGCTGGTGGACCACTGCGTGGCGGCAACGAGTAACTCTCCGAAGGCGGAAGGAGAGGCCTGGTACTTTCGTGCGGTGGCGCCCAACATGAAAACAGAACGTGCAAATTTATGGAAGGACTTTCCAGGTTTAGGGAGCGACTTTGTGCTCCCACCCGCCGTTGCGGAACATGTCGAGCCCCGCATGCATCAAGCCTGTCTTCGTCTGAATGCTCCGCCGCTGCAACTGTGGACGCACTATGACACTCTGGACAATGTTCTTTGCCAGGTTGTGGGGAAAAAGCGTGTCGTTCTTTTTCCTCCTAGTGAGTACAATAACCTTTACATGAGCGGAAGTTCCTCGGTGGTGTTGAACATTGACGCACCAGATTTGGACCGATTTCCTCGTTTTGCAGACGCCTGCCGCCATGCCACTGAGGTTGTGCTGGAGCCTGGGGATATGCTTTTTATACCATCCCACTGGTTTCACCACCTCACGACGATGGAGGGAAGCTACTCCATCAGCGTTAACGTCTTCTTTGAGCGATTTCCCCGGGAAGACTATGATAAGAAGGACTTGTACGGAAACAAGGATTTTCCGGCGGTGTCGCGACTACGCAAGCGCGTCGTTGAACATGTGCAGCAGCTTATTTCTGAATCCGCTAGGGAACGCACAAGTGATGGGCAGCCCCTGCCACTAGAATTTGTCGAATTTGCTCTGCGGCAGGCAATTCAGGATCTTGAGGAAATAACTGATAACATGGCCGCCTCTCAAAGCGGTGGTGAACGTCATTAATAATTTGACTGCATTCACAGCAGATTTACAAAAGATGCATGGGTGGAGCCGTTTGTCCCTTTTCACTGAGGGCGCTGGGGAGGGAAGGGGAGAGGGGAGGGGGAGAGGGATTAAGCGTGTTAAGACGGTGTTAAATACCCATACAGTTCCGTGCACCGCTTCCATGTGTCCTCCTGCTTCGTGTAATGATTGCAGGGCCTACTATTACGTATGGTTGCTGTTGTTGTTTCATTTTACTTTATTGTCTCTTTATTTCTTTTTCTACTTTTTCTTTTTTGTTCGTTGCTTAATGTTTGCAGTTTGATTTGTTTGTGGTCTGTCATTTGTTGCAAGACAGATAGGTACAAGAATTTTTTTTTTTGCACCCAAGTTAGGGGGTTTCAGGTGGAGAGGCAGCCACCAGCTGTCTTTACTTTTTTTCCTTTCTCACTCAACTCTCATCTTCGTGTACGCAGTAACATAAATACACACACCCCGGGAGGGGTACTTCAGCAACGGAACAGAGGGGGAGGGGGAACTTATTGGGGAATTTGAAAAGGAACTTGGGGGAGGGGCAGTATTTCCTTTTTAACCGTCTTAATTTATCCTCTTTATTAGCTTTTACTTTGGACATGATTTCTCCACGCATGGAGATGGAGGTTTCGTATTCTTCCACTCTTATCATGTGCTGGGCGGCCCTACTGGCTGTGATGTCCTGGGTTGCCAGCCGCCCCCTGCAGGGACTGACTATTCTAGTTCTCTCAACCATCGCACTGACTTCGCCCCATGGAGAGAGCCGGATGCTTCTTCCCATGCTATTCTTGGCAGAAAGTTTGCTAGACGACGTCGTCTCACCAGGCCGTTTACCAATCCATTTCTACGCGTCAACGCTTCTTTCCTATCTCACACTTGTCGTTTCGCGCAGTGCAAGGCTGAAAAAAGTTGATAGAAACACCTACCCGGGAGCCTTTCTTTACATTGTCGTTGGTGTTGTGGTGATGTATTTCAATTGTGCGGATTGTGTTTTTTCCTTCGGTGCAGCCGCGTTTGTGTTATTCGGGCTTTTATTTTTTCTCGCCCTTCTTCCTGTTTTGGGAGAGAATGAAGCTGTCCTGGTCGGTTCCTTGGTGGGGTTTCACATTTACGACATGGTAACAAACAAATGCGCAGACAGAGATGAGGCGCTGCTCCAGGCGTCTGGGGTTGTTGCAAGCAAGACGCATATTGTTGGAAGAGGAGCTGTTATGTCTGCAATTACGATGGTTGCTGTATTATATCTCGGCTCTAGATGTTGTATGGTTCCCCGTGTCAACATTTCTAAGTCATCCGAACGAGTTATTAGCGTAAGCCGGATCACACTTCTTTTTTGGTCCTCGCTGGTCTGTGTGGTTGCCGTGATGTATGCGGTGGTAAGCTCACAGCTTGGGGAGAATGTATTGAGGTGGGTTGTAGAATATCTTATTTTGAATCGGTACCGTCTATGGATACTCATTATGTGGGGGATCACCATTCCATTGTCAGTTATCGTTGTGGATAAATTTGCCGTTGACTTGCGCAAGACAGCAAGGCGCAAAATGTTTCATTTTATCGCCGTTTTTGTCTTTACTCCGGTGGCTCTTGTTGATCCATATTTTTTGTCCCTTTCCCTCTCCTTGGCTGTCACCATCGGTATGATTGTGGAACTCTCGCGGTTTTACGGCGTCTACGGGTCTTCTGCCATCAATGAGTTTATGTTGAGGCATATCGATGACCGTGAGTCCATTAAGGGTGCAATACGCACGCACATTTATCTCATTTATGGACTGGGTTTCTCAATGATGCTGCGTTACCGCCATGAGCAGCCAGAGTCAGTGGCGGAGCTTTCACGTTGGATGGAGCTCTCTATTAATATCATTCCGGGTATCGTGGCCCTGGGCATCGTGGATGCGTGCGCCGGCATTGTGGGTAGCACCTTCCTCCTCTCATATCGCCGTGCTTTGGGACGGTACCTAAGTAATTGCTTTTTTACCGAGAAAGCAAATACCTCGATAACACATAAGACGACCACAGGGACCGTTGGTGGGCTAGTCTGTGGGGTCTTGTTTTGGTTCCTGGTTTTACTGTTTGGGGGAACCATGAAAGATGTAGCTGCAGGACAGAGTTTTATTCTTATTCTTATTTGCAGTCTCACCGAATGCTTCATTGAGGGTATCGATAATCTACAGCTCCCGTTAGTGGTGGATGGGGCTGCCCACACGTTATTTGCGTTGTGGTTTTATGGCAAAAATGGTTGAATATGATTTAAATAACGTGAAACAATAATAAAAAGAGCAAAAGCAAAAAGGAAAAGAAAGAAAAGCTTGTGTGTGTGTGTCTGTGTGTGAATTTTGTTTGTGGATGGAGCCTTTGAAACATACGCATGGGCAGAGAATAAATATGGTGTTCTGCCTCCTCGTATGTTTTTTTCTTTTGCTTGGGAGGAGGCAGCACGGAAAGATTATGGAGAAACGGTCAATGTTGAATGTCGAGTAGGTAAAAATTAAAACCGGGTTGTATCTGTCGCGTGTTTACTTCTTCCCAGGCATTATGCGCACTCACATGTTGTTTAAAAGGAGCAACCGAAGGATGTGTTTTTTTTCTTTTTTTTGGGTTTCGCAGTTTGTCTTTGTATCAGATGTTTCCAGCTATTTATACGCTTGCCTTTGTGGCACCTATTAACAAAGACGTGTCGTCAACCCGGTGTTAACGATTCGTTTGCTTTTCCCCACCCCCACCCTACACTTTACCCCATACTTCGATGCATGTTATTCCATTCAATGTGTCATTTATTCTGGTGTCGTTGTTGTTTTTTCTTTTTTTGGAACGCTTCTACCGCTGCTTCCACCTTTCTGGTGAGCTAGCCGCTGTTCTTCTACGCTCTGCCTGGTTGTCCTCAACCTCTCTGCACAGGGAGAGAGAAAGAAAGGGCTAGTGTGTGTTTGTGTCTGTGTGTTTAGGTGCCGCCATGGTGGGCCGTGGCAACCAGTTTGCCACAAGAGGCGAGGGCAGCGTCAGGGCCCCTCTTGCATCCCTTGGTAGTGGGGTGAGATGGCGCGTGAGTCAAGACCAGAGGGAGATTCAAGACAAGACGCCGAACGTGCTCCCAGTCATCCCAGCATCTACGCAGAAGCAGCGTACATCAAAGTCCTCCGATTGCCCCAAAAATCCGCTGGCACTATTGGCCTCGGAAAGTCGGGCGATGGCAGCTCGCAACAACTTGCAAGAACAGTGGCGAAGTGCCTTGCTGGAGTACGAGGTTGCCCTGAAGGAGCTCGTGACAAACAGCACGGATAAACCCCCCTCGGACTCGCGCCTAATGAAGACGTTTCAGCTGTACGATGCGGTGTCCCGTGTCGTCGCGGAGCAGTCTCCGGAGTTGGCGGATATGCTGAAAATGTTCCGCATCGAGTTCTGCCGCGCCACGCTGATAAAGCAGAGTCTAAACAACTTCACCCCGCAACAGGGCGCTGACGGTGTGGATGACGAGCTGGAGGAGCTTGGGAGGACTTACTTTGATCAGGTGGAAGCGCTGCTCCGGGAAAATGCGGCACTTCGCATGGAGGTGAGTCTTGGCAACACGCGGGATAAATTGGCTGAGATGAAGGCGCAGATTGAGCGACTGACGGAGGTGAGCGCCTACTACGAAAATGAGGTAAACCTGTTAGGGCGTGAAAATAGATGCCTGGCAGAGAGCTACCGCAAGTCGCAGGAGGAACTTGCTATGGAGAAGGAAAAAAATATTTATTTGCATGACAAATTTGAAGATGAAAAACAGAGGCTGTTGCAAGAGAACAAAGACATGCAACTACGTCTCTGTCGTCTACGAAAGTACCTTAGTGATCGAGAGTCTACTATCGCCAAGGATAGCTACAAGAACTTCAAGGATAAGAAGATGAGTATCATGACGCGGCTGTTTGACGAGGGAGATGAGCGGGTGTCGGTGTTGGTGATGCTGAGTCAGCTGGAAAGTCGCGTCAACGAGGAGCTTGATAACTACGACAGAGAGTCGCTGCTGAGCGAGGAAGCTGCTCTGCCGGAGCATCAACAACGAATGTTAAATACAGTCTCTGTATTGTTGGAAGAAATGCATCTGTGTGAGGAACGCTACCTTCGTCTGGTGCCACGCGCCCATTCGCTTATTGGAGAGGAACGCGACGAGACAGACAGCTACATCACACTTTTGGGTGACGAACGTCTTTACGAGGCACTTGTGGCGAGAACCGCAGTGCGTAAAAGACGGAGTCTGGGATTTATGGAGTCCGAGACAGAGGTGACGGGGGAATTTTCGCCGGTGGCGGGGTCACCCAGTAGCAATGACCTTCAGCAAAACGAGATTGGAATCGCCGTGGAAGACTCAGGTTTGCCTCTGTTGCGGCCAGAAGCACAGGAAATCGGGTCTCAGGCGTCCGTCTCGCAGAATGTAGGCTCTAGTGCGCGGCAGCTGGAACCACAAAAGGAAATAGTGACACATGAAGCAAAGAAGAAAGAGAAGAGCGGAGCAGAGGCAGACGCGGCCGAAGTAACGGTGGAAAAAGGACAAAAAGAAGTAGTGAGGCTTGCCGTGCCATTGAGCGTGGGGATACGGGATGCAGCTGCTGAATCGCTGTCGATTGTCAGAAAAAAGCAAGAAGAATGGGTTGACAACATTTTTGGCACAGCGGTAAATACCACCAACCTCTTGAAACGTGTTCTAAAGAACAGTAAATCTGAGGGAAACCAGACAGATCAAGAGCGTCTCATGCATGACTTTATTTCAAAACCACTGTTAGATGTTAGTAGCAATAAGTTTCAGTGTGGTATCGATATATTTACAGGTCCAGGACCACTGACGCAGTCTTTCCTTTGCTCTGTCAAGCACGTGGATCCTGTCGATCCACTGCCCGTTCCACAGGGCACCAATTTCATGCATGTGAAGTACCGCAATCCACTGCGTGTAGAAGCAGTGGATGAGGATTCCGAGGCGGCGGCGGCAATTGTACCAAATCCTGAAGCTATCGATGAATGGGGAAGAAAGGCGTACGTGCGTGAGGCAATGGAACCGGAATCTTCTGCGTTGAACACTGGTTTCCAATTATTCACTGAACTTGGTCGTCCGAGCATTTTAAAGGCGGCAGCCGCGGGAGTCACTGTGGCTTCCTCCTCAACACCAGCAACAGCAGTGTTTGAGCGGTTGAATCCTCTTTCTCCCAATCGATCCCCGGAATGGTTACTCTACCAGAACCTTTATGGGGGTTACCGCCCCTTAACACCGCGGCTTATTGACATGTCTTATATTGATCATATACTTTTGAACTCCTGTGAGCGTCACTTTGACCGCTGTGAGGAACGCTACATGCGTTGCCTTAAGCAAGCACGCACACGAGCGACAAACAGTCAGATGGCGTTGAATATGGCAGAACGATTATTCAAGGACACGTACACGTTGACAGATTTTCAGGAATCTGTCATTCGGGAATTAGAATCTCGCTACTGCTACCCAGAACTTGTAGCAAAATCTCTCTATGAGATTCTATGCTTTCTTGACGCCACAAAGGCCTTGCATCCGTTGGTCGATTTGTATCTCAGCTGCATTCGGGGCTTTGAGTCACCCAGCCGCATTCATTACATCACTTATGTACTATACCAGATAAGTGTGAATTGGCCGTCTTCAAATCCGGAGGAACCCGTTTTGAAGGAAGATGTTATCACGTTGCTGGAACACATTTACAAGAGGGCATCTGGCGTCACCAGCATAGACGCCAGCGACATACTCACGGAGTATCAAATGGCAACGCGTTCAGCCCCTATCACCTGGGCTTCGCTGCGCAGTTACCTGGTAACAGCCATGTTGCACTTTGAGGATCCACTACTGCTCTACTTTAACGGGTTGCTTAGCTACAAAGCGACTTCCAGCGCCGTGGTGGAGATGAACTACGAAGAGTTTGGGTCCGCGCTCAAGGCCACGTGGGAAGAGAAAGTTGAAGGAAAGCTTCTCATTCGCTATCTTACTGCCTCGTGTGGGTTTAACAAGAAGGCGGAGCTGACAACAAAAGAGTTGGCATGTGTTGCAGCAAGCATGTGGAGCTCGCACTTGTGGACGAATATGTAAATGATAGTCTTGACAACTTATTTGGGGGCCCATACACACACACATACACACGTTTTTATTCAACTCACTGTGTCTTGGGTCATCGCGAGGTGACTCTGTTGGTGAAGAGAGTGAATGATGATGGGCATCCCGTTGTGTTTCAAATGTTTGGTGCACTTCCTGGTAGCGCGGTTTGTTAGAAGCACTGCTGCTACCGCCTCTTCCAGAGGGTGGAGGTGCTTTTGCATGTTTTAGATGTGAAGAACTATGGGGGATTAGCATGACTCTTGTGTAGGCGTGTGTGTGTTTGTTTGCTTGCTTGTCCCTGCCTGCGCATCCACGTTGCATTTGGGGCATTGTTGTTCCACGCACCTATTTTTGTTTGTGTGTGTGTGTGTGTTCCCACCTTTGCGGTAGTGCTCTGGGGAGCATTGAAGGTGGGGCAGCGATCCTTTTGAGATCTTTTGTTTTGTTTTTATTTTCATTTTTGTCAACGTGTTGGCAAAACGAAACATACACATACAAAAAAAAAAACTTATTGAAGCGACTGGTGATCTTTATGAAGACAAGGCAGGCAAAGATCACCGCCTCCACACGACTGCAGCAGCGGACCCTAGACTACTTTTTTGGGCACAACGGCACCACAGCGCCTGTGGCGCTTGATGGGGTGAGTCGCGAGTGTTGCTGCGTCACCCTGCCCTGGTCTAAGGAAAATCGATGTCTTGGGGATGCCGGTCAACTCTGCAGCGCCTGGGGCGTTATTATGGCCATTTTGGCAAGAGATGCCTCTCAAAACACGATGGATCTTCAGATTTTGTTGCAGAGACTTTATCTTCATGACTCCTTTGAACGCGTCTCCTCTACGTTTCACTTTGGAGCTCTTTGTTATGTAATTGACCACATCATGGACTCCTCGGAACGTGCCGCCTTTTTCGATGTCACGTTGCCGTGGATGAAGCGCCTCATGCGTGAAGGCCCCTGTGAGCCTCCCGCATGATTTAAAGGCCCTTTCGCAGGGAAAGAGCCAACGTTTAATGGTGGCCCATGAGGAAGCGGCTACCTTGTTGACGTGTGGCTTTTTTTCACTTTTCCCTAGTCGTTGCTTTAGTTCTCACTCTAGAAGTGCGTCGTCAACTAAGCTTGCACCGTTTAATTTTGCGGATTTGTTCTGCCTTGCGCCTACTGGTCGCCTTGAGAGTCATTTTGCCAAAATACGGTGTCTGCTCCAGTACTTTACATACTGTTCCCATCACACCGCCCCAGTGAAGACGTGTTTGGAGTTTTATCGGGTCTGTTTTGCGTCTTTTCCGGACTTTAGCAGGAGTTCCAACCCGATGCAGAGCGTTTGCATGAATGTGAAGGGATGCATTGAGGACCGCTACGGGAACCTTCAGGTTGATTTTGCCAACAAGGTGTTAGGCGGAGGCGTTCTGCAAACTGGTTGTGTTCAGGAGGAGATACAATTTGTGACGTGTCCGGAGCTGCTTCTCTCACGTCTCTTTAGTGAGCCACTTTTGGAGAATGAGGTGCTGTTCATGAGTGGGGCCGGGCGTTACAGTCTTTCGGAGGGGTACGCTAGTGGTTTTCGCTTCACCCGCGGGCAATCACCACACGTTGTAGTCTCAACTGTTGGTGTCAGTACTTTACATGAAAAATCTGTGGAGTTTGTATCAACTCCACTGCATGATAAGAATGATGGTGGTGCCGTACTGATGCGAAACTCCTGTATAGTTGCCATGGATGCGGTGAATTTCCACAATTGTGTGGGAAAACAGTACACAGCGTCGTCGGCGACACGCGAAATAAGAAAGGCGTTTGTAGCGTTTAAAGGAGCATCCGATAGTACCCTGTCCTCCGTTTACTCGGGTCCTGTTGCTACTGGCAACTGGGGATGTGGCGCATTTCATGGGGATCGCCAACTGAAGGTGATGATTCAATGGTGTGCAGCATCTGAGGCTCGGCGACCGCTCATCTATTTCACCTTTAATGACGACAATCTCTGCTGTCAGTTTGGGCCTGTCTACGAAAAACTACAGAGAGAAAAATGGAGCGTGGGCAATGTGTTTATGTTGCTCCTTGCCTTTTTTAGCGATTGCGCCAGCGCACCAACAGACAGCGTTGGTGAGGGGAAACTGTTTCAATACATCCTCTCTTCGCCGAAGCCGCCGTGTACAATTTTGTAATGCGGTGTGGAACTCACCTCTTACGTGAGGTAAAGGGTGCTGGGATGCGCAAATGTGATCAAAGTTTGATATAAAAAAATGCATTTAAGCGTGTCCTATTTTTGTTTTTACTCCCTTTCAGTCTGTCTTTTCGGGTAAGGTGTTTTTACCTGTTTTTGTTTTGATGCCGTATATGTTGGCATATTGTTATTATTATTATTATTTTTTTTTTTGCTTGTCTGTTGGGGTAACGGTGGAGCATGTGTGTAGTAATAAGAAAAGAGTGCTGCCATCATGCAGACAGACACTGTTGACCCCACGACCTTCTCGCTGCGCCCGGAGCACAAGCATAAATTTCGCCCCAACGATATCCGGCCGGTGGTTCGTTCCATCATTGAGCTGCGGCTTGAGAATGAGGAGTACAAGGCGGACGAAATTCAGAGTATTAGCAAAGAGATCGCCGATACTGTGCGGGATCGGATTCGTGGTATGGACCTCGAACGATACAAAATCATGGTGCACTGCATGATTGGGGAGCAGCGCGGACAAGGGGTGCGTGCGGGGTGCAAAATGTTTTGGGACTCCGACACAGACGACTACTTTGAGGAGGTGTACGTTAACCAACACCTCTTTGCCGTTGTGACTGTGTTTGGGCTGTACCAGTACTAAATGGAGGCGGTACCCCTTCAGGCTGGGCTCCTTGTTGTTGTTATGGTTGTTTGGCTATTACTTCCCTTGTACCCTCCCTTTTTTTTGTTGTGTGTGTGTGTTTCTTGCATGTGTGGTATGCGCGTTGTGAGAGGTAGCAGAGAAAGAAAGAAAAAAAAACAGAAGAGGAGGGGGGAAACCTTACGTAGCAGAAGACACATAATAGTCAGAATACCAACAGCGGGGTTGAGGAGGAAAGTGAATATGTACAAACGTTAGATTGGCTCATTTTTTTCCACATTTTCTCCTTCACCCTACCTCTACTGGTGGGTGTCACGCCATGACAGCCGGCGAAGGAGTTGAGGAGAGGGATAAAGAAAGAATTGAGGATGACGCCTACTCACAACGTGTTCTTCTTGCTTTGTTGTTGTGTGTGTCTTCGTTTGTGTCATGATGTGTTGTTGCTGGGTCACAAACAGCACTTTTGTGTTGGAGCATGCTGCTTGGTTTTCTGTTGCTTGTCTCACTGCGGGGGGAGGGAGAGAGAGGAGGAAGGGGAGAATAAGAGCGGGTGAAAAACAGGGATGAGTAATGCCAAGGGCCAGGAGTAAGTCGCTGGTGGCAGAAAGGGGGACTGTGAACAGCTGGCAGTGTCTTCCGCCTGAGCGTAGCGACAAGCCATTCTGGTTGGCGCTCAACGAATACATAGCACCGTCGAGAGAGCCGGAATTTCCACTGGCACGTGAGGAGTTCTATGACTCGACGCTCTCGGGGCTCACCGCGCCGGGGCAGACCACGCTGTTGAGTGATGACGTCATGAAGGCGGCGAATGAGATGCGTGAGTACTACGACAGCATTTCGTTGTGGAATCCACTTTCTTTGGCGCACCATCTCGGGATGAAACTTGCTATGGTTATTGAGCAGTTGCTGCTGGCGAAGGAGTACGGATTGGTTTCTATGTTTTTTGTTGTTCCATGTCGATCATGCGGGTGTGACATGTTACGTGTGGACGCCGTTCGTGAGATCTGCTTCCGCGCCACGTATCACCAGACAAACAGTATCCGCTGCCCAATATGTACGGACCACACGGAGGTAACGGATTTGACAAATGTAGGGGTTTTCTTTCAAGAACGTTTCCCACCCGAACTCCTGCGTCGAAAGTACCATCGGCTCTTTTACAGTGACGAGGCGAACCGGCGAAGACTCGAGACATACTTTTGTCCACCGGGTGCTGTCTTTGCTTTTCGGATGTGCCTTCCGGAGGGTGGGTACCTGATTATAGCACCAGGAGTGGGCCTTATTGTGGAGCTTCAGGTTGAAGCTGCTGCCGACTTTATTGGTGGAAATTCACCCTATCACGTAATCAACCTTACAATTGATAAGTTACTGGCTGACGAAGGTGTGAATGTGGAACGAAGTGAAAGGGGGCGTCCTCTAATACGTGCCAAGCATGGTAAACTTCTCTGCCGCGTGTTTAATGGCACACCATATGGGGGATATTTGGACATCTTTGTTACATTCGATGAGCGTCTTGAGCTATTGGCCCCACAGACTCCCCTTGTAACGAGTGTCCCCATGGTGCTGCATAATTCCTCACGGGGCCTACGATCCCCGCTCTTTGATTTCTTTATTCCAAGGCCCCCTGGCAGCCGCACCTCTGGTATCTATGTCCTGCATTCCTTCGCTCTCTCTGGTGAGGAGTTTGACGAACCCATCACTGCAGGTACGGAGTCAGCCCTAGCTGTAATTCATGAGGTGCATCGCTACTCCTTGGAAGATCATCATGGCCTATTGCTCTCTGTGGGGCGGGGCGGTAGTGTGTTTGAGTCCTCATTTCTTTCCGTGACGGCGGCGCTTGCCTCTTCGCTCTGTCTTGCGCAACGCGTTGTGACACGTCTTGGTGCCAATGTGGCTGCCGCCCTCACGTGTATTATAGCGCAAGGCACAATGTACATGGCGTCCTTTCAGGGGCAGTACGATGACGACAAAAATGTGCGCTCCTCATATCCCGACGTGGATGTCGTTGGGCCCGCGGTGTATGCGGCGATGCACCCGCCTGTTGCTCCGAGGGAAAACACCGGTGGTGCGGATCCCGTCCAGCCTGCGGGCGGCTGTCTACGGATTGAGCTCCGGTCCGCCTCGGAACAGCAAACGGCTGTGTGTCTTGACCCTGCCACTGCAGACGCGATGTTTCCCTTTCTTCTCTCCTACCTTGGAGATCAGCTGGACTCCTTCTGGGTTCTCACTGAACCTCAGGCCCTGGTGGTGGTGGTGCCGTTCTCAACGCTGGGTGCAACACTGATGCTGCCCTCCTTGTTAGATCCTGACATGTACACAAAAGAATTATCCGGACCCTTTGGCTAACAAGCCATTGCAAAAAATAAAACTAAGGGAAATTTTAAAAAAGTGAGGTTCGTACCTCTGCCTGATTTATCCACGTATTGTCCACGCGTACAGGTCCGAACGAGAAGAAGAAGATGGGAGGTATGGTGGGAATAAAAGAGAAACATGCGATTCCTGTGTCGTTGCCACACGCGCACAGGAAGAACAAAAGTAAACATGGAGAGAAGCGTACGATGACAGATGGGGGACGTGGGAATTTGTTGTGTGGGTCTCGGCGACTCATCTATTCCCTCTTCATTGCAATAGTACTTGATGTACTCTCACATGTGTGTGAAGGCAAGGCCTCCTGCGCTCATGAGAGGTTTTCAAGATGGAGTTAGATGAAATGGTTATAGTTACCTGTTGAATCTTTTTTTTTATCTTTGTTTTTTGTTTTGTTACTGTAGTTACTTTCTACTTGGCTTGCGCATTTTCTTTGCACTCTTCTGGGGTGTGGTTTCTCTCAAAATGCCGCCGATAAAAAGAAATATGAGGGATGGTGGAAAGAAAGGGTAATGGCTCTCAGCGCATAGAGAACGGTGTTGTCCACGGCATGTGGTGGTTGTTTCTAGCTCGCTTGCGCACTTTTCCTCTCCACACATACGGTACTTTGCTGCGGTCGTTACTTTGTGCCTCTGTTTGTTTGTTTGTTTTTATTATTATTGTCGCATTGTCATTTGTGTGATGAGTTGTCGCAGCCTCGAAGACAGAGAGATGGTGGGTAGTAGTCGGCTGGGGATGCGGCATGTGCGTGACTGCTGTGGTGGCGTAGCAGCCAATCCGTCGCTGCTGACACTGGCAGCTGTTACGACGACGACGACTCGCATACAATACCGTTGGCAGTCTTTCTTTGGCGAGCATCGTGAAACGGCGCGACGGTCACGGCAAGCACACAGCCATCCACTGGCACCCAAAGATCCTGCTGCACGCAACATCGTAATTCCCGACACTGTACACGCCAAGTCTTCCTCTCCAGCGGCTCTTCCTGCGGAAGTGCTGCAGAAACGGGCACAACGTGCGCTTCTGAGGCAGCTGCAGCAGAACCTTGTCTGGGAGGGCACTGTCATTGACGATGAACGGCACGACTTAATTCAACATTTTGTTAAGCTTCGTCAGAACCCCAAGTACCGGTCCTCAAAGCAAATGATGATTTTAGGTGGCAAGGACATGTTGCGGGAACTGTTTGAGGACGGATACACGCCGCGGCATCTTCTTATCCGCGGCACACAGGAGGTACCTTCATGGACGAAAACGAAGGGGGTAAAGACGGAGATTGTGCGCGTTGATCGACGCGTGGCAGAGGTCTGTGCCCCTGGAAATGACGGCTACATTGGTGACTTTGACATTCCTTCACCCCCGGCAAAGGAGAATCTTATAGCCAACAAGCAACGATTTGACCGCATTCTTGTGCTTGACAATGTTGACGAACCCGGTTTGCTGGGAACCTTGCTGCGGACCGCCGCTGGCTTTCATTACGATGCGATTATTACGACCAACCACTGTGCTGACCTTTATGACCATCGCGTGCTTCGGGCAGCTCGCGGTGCCCACTTTCAGAAGGGAGTGCCGATATATATTCTGAAAGACGAAGACGGCGATGACGTGTACGGTATGTTGAACCACATTCTAAAGAGAAACAACATGTCCACTGTTTGCTTTACCCCGGTCGATGATGATGTGGAGAACAAAAGTAATGTCAAAGAGTCAACAAGTGTGGTGTCGCGTAGCCCCACTGCTCATGTAGGTACCGTTGCAAGGGAAGGGCTTTCTGATTACTGTCATCGTTGCTTTACAAATGAAGAGGCGAAGGGTCAGCTCCTCATTGCCGGTCCGAATCATAAACGTAATTCGCTGCGACGGTGGTCAAAACGGCTTGCCAGCCCTGTGACTCGGTTGCTGCTGGATGAGGTAACACAGACTGATTTGTTGGTAGCGCTTTCTGTTGTTATTCATGCCCTGCGGCCGCATGGAAACTGGGATTATCTCCCCACGAGCGAGACGCCTGACAGTCATACCGCTACCTTGGAGCTGCAGACATTGAAGGCAACGGTTGATATTGGTGCGGATCGTCTAGATCTACGCGAAACGGACTTGAATCTTGATGAGGAGGAACAAGTGGAGAAGGCCCGGTTAAAGAATGAGTTTATGCGATGGAAGCGGCTGCAGCGTCGAAAAATGAGCGACTACGAACACTGGATGGAGGCGGAGACGCAACGCGTGCGGGAGATGGCGGCGAACGAAAGGCGGCGGCAGGTGATGCCGTGGGCTCGACTGTATTGGCGTCACCAGAAGGGGGCAGCAGGGCTGCCGCCGTCGGTGCCAAACATCATTGATGAGTATCGCATGCCGCTTGATCGTGACGCTCTTCGTGAGGAACAGGAGGTGAGTACGAGCTATGTGAGGCCGGAGAACTACAACCGGTAGGGGCTGGTGAGTTGATAATGCCACAATGCTTGAGACCGAACAACCGTAGTAGCATAGGGGTTAGTTTGCGTGTGGTTGATGTTTTTTTTTTGTTTTGGACGCCATGCACAGAGACACAATCTTCAGTGCACCACCATTAACACTGTTTGTCACCACTCAAGGTGGTTTACGCATGCCACTCCCGTCGTTGCCCCTGTTTCTTGACTGACGAGAAGAATAGAAATGTCATTGTACTCCATTTACATCTTTAACCGCTACGGTGACAATATCTTCTACATGCAGTGGAATCGGACAAGTGCAGTGCAGGAGGGTGAGGCACGCCTCGTCGCTGGCTTCATCTACACACTGCAGCACTTGTCGTCACAACTCTCCTCCACTGGTACGGGTGGACTGAGGGCAGTGCAAACCCCACTCTATAAGCTTCATTATGGCGAAACAATGACTGGATACCGGGTCGCACTACTTACGGATAGGAATGTGAACACGGCACTGGTGCAGGGTATATTTATTGAGATGTTCCGTGATGTTTTCCAGAAGACTGTAACGCGGAATCTAAACTACCGCCACGAGCCTGGGTGCACGATCACCAACCCGGAGTTTGCGGAGGGGCTGGAAGCTCTCTTCCGTTCAAAGCAACTGCTAAAATGAAAAAGTGCCTTCATGTGTTTTGGCGTTTTTCCTTCCTCTCTCATTCACACACACTCACACACTCATGTCACATAGATGCATCTACGTGACTCCACTACAACCTCCCGGAGGTGAATTTAGGTGTTGAGCTCTAAACAATATTTTCTTTTTCTTGAGATTTGCGTTTTAGGTGGCCAAACATTGACTATAGTGCAAGACAGTGGGACGTAGTTTGTGGTTGGGGAAGTGAGGGGTCGTTCCCTTGTGGTTGTTTTCTTTGCGGCTCCTGTTTGTTGACTGCCCCTGCGCAGATGGACGACGGCACAGGTCACCTCATACAGCCGTTTTCCATCATTGGCATGGGCGCCTACGGTACCGTCTTTAAGGCCTTTCGGACGCCGAGGACGTGCGGAGACAAGGAGGAGATCCAGCATAGCGACAATGCTCAGGCTGTCGCGGTCAAGGAGACAGTCTTCACGGAGGTGGCAGATGACATCACAGTTGTGCTGAAGGAGGTATCCTACCTCACCAATCTGCAGCACCCCAACATCGTCGCATATTTTACAGCATTTACAAACCCTGGTGTAACGTCTGTCACACCGTCACTAGACTTGACGAAAACTCAAAGGGATGAAGAAGAAACTGTGACTCTAAGCTTTTCCAAGGTTCCTTCCTTATGTTTAGTAGAGGAGCTTGTCGAAGGGGCTTCTGTTGCGAAGGTGCTTAAGATGACCGCGGAGGGTCAACTTTCAAAGGGGATGTCGGAGGTTGAGATTGCCGCCATACTGTGCGACGTCCTGCAGGCACTTCTTTACATTCATGAGGGATGCCGTTTGGTCCATCGTGATATTAAACCATTGAATATGCTTATGGATAGTAAAACCAACTCTGTGAAGTTGTGTGACTTTGGCACCTGTGCCGATATGAGCCAACAAACCGGGCGCTTCACGATTATTGGCACCATTGGCTGGATTGCGCCTGAGGTTCTTGACAGTGGGATGATGGACTGTCGCTCTGGCCACGTCACGTCACATAGTTTTCCTTCAGATGTGTGGTCTCTTGGCGTCTCCGCGCTTGAAATGGCGTTGCCGACCATTCGAAAGACAGCCTTGTCGGAGCACATCAAAGATTTTAGCGCCTCAGCGTGTTCTGCTCAGCCAACGGTAGAGACTTCTCGAAGGGGTTTCCTGCACGAGAAAATCTCTTCAGAGCGTCTGCGTGATTTCATAGCATGTTGCCTTCGGAAGGACCCACAAGTCCGATCAACGGTTCGCCAGTTATTATTGCACCCGCTCATTGTGGCAAACGAAGTGGCAGACGCGCAAAAACGACAAAAGCAAATATCAGCCATTCTTTCCGCGGTAAGTGCGGCCAACATGTCGAACCCTGCTTCAAATGAAAAAATGGTTGATGACGCCATTCTTCTGCCACAATACGCATCCTCCCTGCACTCGAAGAATCGATTCATGGAAGCTATAGCGGCGATTAAGAGGGAATTTTTTGCCGCCCATACACCTTTGCCAGAGAAGTCTCGCGCCTCACACTACACTTGGTGCTTGCCAGAGCATCTTGCACGCATGTCATCGTCTGACGAATACCGTTACATGCCAACTCCCTCAAGACGGCAGGGGCTTGGTCAAGTGCCCTCCGCTTGCAATGCGCAGGCAAATTTGCGAAGTACAGCACCTATCAAACCAGTTTTTGATTCCGTCATTCTACCTGCTACAGTGGAGACTCAACGTATGACACTAAGTATCCTACGAAAGTACCGCAAGCTCGCCGGGGCGAGCACATCGGAAGGATGGGGGGATATTGATCGGCGGAATGTTGCATGCTACTCACTGGATGATTTAGCCTGTCAGCACCTAAAGCATGAGCGTTTTATTCAGTTGCATGATGACCTGCTACGTACGTTCAAAGCAGCCTGTACGGCTATTCCTGACTTTACAGAGAGTTTCCTTTCTGCGTTTATGCAGTCTTTAATGGTTTCAGACGATGATGCGCAGGATCTGCGGCAGTTTATTGCCTACGTTTTACAATTGCAAAAGGAAGATCTTATGCACACTCATCGTACCCAATTAGAGACATCGGACTTCAGGTCAGCGACGTCTAAAAGCCCCGCAGACGGTTTTTCCCGCAAATCGCAACCAATGACCTTTGTGTCAGCTGAAGATTTTCTGCGCTTTCCGCGGATGCCTCAGGCAGCAGGGTTTGTGAATGCGAGTGATTGCGGTGGTGATGCCACCACTGATACAATACGGCAACAAGCCCCCCATGTAAACCCGTCGGCCTACTTGTTTAACACCTGGCTGAAACGAAAGCAGGCTGATGTAATGGATCCCTTGTGATGACTGCTAGACAACACTTGGAAGTTATTGTGGCGTGTGCTGGTGTTTTTGAGATGTTGTGGCAGCTGTGTTGGACAGTGACGACGGTTTGGTGTCGACATCACCGCTTGTTTTTTTTTTTTTTACTTTAGGGCGAAGGGTTAAGTTCTTTTTTTTTTCCTTATTTGTGTGTGTGTGTGTGTTCACAGCTAAAGCATTGTTCCACCTATGCCTTTCGTCGCTCTATCCTAATATCTGGCACATTTTCTTTCTTTTTTCGTTTTATTTTCATGCGAGTGAACCACACACTTGTGTCGGCTCCCACTCAGGAGGGCGTGGGTAAGACGTGGGGCTGCTCCTTTTGCAGTGGTAGTAGTCATGACGAAGCTAGTGCGCAAACTCAAGCAGATGGCCAAGAAGCGGGCCCATCGCAACACTGTGCTGAAGCGAAAGGCAGAGCGAGCCCAAAAGGAGATTGAGGAGGGTGAGAAGCTCAACCAGGAACGGCTGGAGCGTGAGACGGATCTTGAGATACACCGCCTCACCACACAAGGCGAGGAGTCGGAGGCGGAGGCGGCAATAAACAAAAAACTTGTGCGGGTGGTTGGAGATCTCGTTTTGGAGACCCCGCAACGGAAGGCAAAGAAGCAGGCGAGTCGCAAGCAGGTAAAGCGGAAGGAGAAGCTGAAGGAGCGCGGCCAGGCTGTTGCGGCTCAGCTGGGGAAGAAGTGGAACACAAAAAAACGACGAGTAAAGCAGCGGGCTCAGGCCCGCAACGAAAATCTCCAGGATTAATTTAAATGAGACTCGGTTGACAGCACGCCTTGGCGAGTGTGCAGGGGGTGGGGGATTTTTTTATTTTTTTTTTGCTCCTCTTGCTCTTCTTATCTCACTCCCTTTTTCCGCTGTGTCTGACTGTGTGTGCGGTGATTACCTCTACTGAAGCGTGGATTTCTGTTCCTACACATGGCCGATTCCTACCTATCTTGCTCTCTTATCGGGCTCTCTCCTTACTTTTCTGTTTCTTTTTTTTTTTTTTTTCGTTGGTCTACTGCTTCATTTGTTCTCTCCCACTGTGTGCCTGTTTATGTGCGAGGGAGAGAGACATCCTCAGGTCTGTGGTAGCCAAGATGGATCTGCCGTTAAACATTGACCAGCTCACGGCCCCACCGCAGCTGGACAAACCACCATTGTCACCATCGGTGGTGGTCGCTTCTCCCGCTTCGATCCCGTGTTCTATTCATCCACTACCAACAGCAGCCGTGGATGCAGAGACGTCCTCCTCTCCTCGTGAAGGGGAAGGAGTATCGCAGCCCCCTCCACTGGACGAGACTGGCAATGATGAGCACTTGACCATTGAAGACCTCTTTGGTGACTTGTTCGAGGTGGGGGATCATCGGCCGGTAGACCCTGCGTTGCTCGACACACGTAAGGTGCTTTTGAGCCTTTTCGGCGACCACGTTCGCGAGGAGGATGTCGACTTTGAGGATGAAAAGCAAGTCACACTGGCCAAGGAAGTGGCCGACAATAAGGCGGAAGCTCGGTTTGCTGCGGTGGAAAAGTGCTTTGGGGAGGCAGGTGCAGCTGCTTTAGAAGATCAGTGCGTTGAGCCCTTTGGATGTCTGCGGTCATCGCTTCCGGCCGTGCCGGATCTCGGCCCACATGAAGAACTTTGGCTCGCAGACATGCCCAAAATTGCTCCCAATCGCCAAACACTTCACATGGAACCGCAACCATTTCTTCCCTCACAATGCAAACCGCTCAACAGCACGGACCGCATGCTGTTCACAACGCAGAACGTTGTACGATGGGCACATCACAAGGGAACGAACACGTTCATGAGCAACGCTCGCGTCGTGCGCTGGAGTGACGGTAGTGTGACCTTACACGTGGGTAGTGATTTGTTTACCTTGCAACACTCAAAGGAAAGCGCCGTTACGATGCTTGCGGGCCCTGTTGTTGTGCATAAGGGCACTGTTGGGGTTCCCGCAATGGTATCGGCACTCAATCCAGAAAAGCACCTTGTGGTGGAGGGTGCTTCTGCATCCTCAATTGAAGAGGCTGTGATTGCTGAGAATGCACGATTCCGCTCTGTTTCCAAGCGACACAGCCTTGCCTACAGCGCACCGGCGTTACCTAACATCAATTGGAAGATGACAACAGCACGCACTACCATTGAAGAGTATGTTATGAAGGAATACAACCGTCGGCAGAAACTTATTGAACAACGTAAGAGAGAGGGACGTCCCATGACGTTGACGGAGCAAATGGAAATGGAAAACGAGCTACTACAACGGCTGAAGACTATCAGTGCAGAGGAATTGCTGGAACAACAGCAAGAGCAACAACGGGAAGCTGCTCTACGTTCTGCGATTCGTCAGCAACCCCATAGTCGCGGTCGTTTTGAGCGCGCTACAACCCTCGAAGGTGGAGGAGACGTGGCTGCCAATAGCTACGGGAGAGGTGCTCTGGGCGGAAGCTACGAAGAAGAAGAGGGGGACGGTGATGCCGATGATGACACGTACGAGGTGATGTTGGAGCGGATGCAGAAAAAACGTAGGCGGGAGGACGACGCCGACAATGTCGCGCGTCTGCATCGCATTCACCAACGGGAGGATGCGCAGGTGGCGCGGTACGGACCTCTAATTGAGGCCTTGCGTGGCATCGTCCCACATCTTCCCTCGGGGACAACGGCGCTCGGCGCGGTGCAGGGCACTCTGGATTTCTTGGGAACAGGCGCCTTCTCCGCCGCCGTGGTCGAGAAGGAGGTGCCGCTGATGATGGAGGAGGTTGCTGATGAGTGTCCTGATGTGGATCTTACTGCTGTGCGGAACGAGCTTCAGAAGTTGTTCCCGTGAGCGTGTTCGGCGGCGTTACCCGCAGCGCCTCCAACAAAGCAATCCCGGAAGGGACCAGAGTGACGAGGCGAAGTAGAAAAGAGAGAGGAAAAAAAAAAGATGAGTCAGGATGGGAACAAAGAAAACAAAACCAAAAAAGGCAAGTGGGGCTGTGGGAATGAGCGCAGTCACTTCTCCCCATTTTGTTTCACGACAGTAACTGTGTAAGGAACGAAAGAACGAGAGTTGGAGCAATGGAGGAGAATGAAAGGATGTTGTAAGGATATCCCATCCCTGCGGGTAGTGATTTTGAGTTTCAATGTGGGCGTGCTTCTTTTTTT